CACCCCCCAGCAGAAGCTCCACGGCCCAGCAGTGCTCCAGCTGTTTGGATACAGATGATCTCATGGGTGGTTCTGCAACTCGTGACCACAGTGGGATTGACAGAGGAATCACTAAGAAAGCAAGCCCTTGTGTGCACAGCATGGCTGCTGCTTCCAACAGTAGGCCTACCCAGCACATCAGACTCTGAGAAAAGGAATGACTGTGCCACATTCTGCACATCTGGCAATCTGGGGCCACGTTTCTGTGAACCCTGCTTCTGAGCCCCGCTGCCAGCCTTCCTCCTGGCTCCACACAACAGGGCACAGATCCCTGGCAGAGAGGGGATGAGGACCTGGACCACCAACAGGTGTCAGTGGGACAGACCAGGAGCTGACAGCTGAATTTCAAGAGCCCCGGCTGAGAAAACTGCTTACAGAGGCTTTGGCACAGAGCAAACCTTCTGCCTCCAGCAAAGGAGTTCTTCCCTTACTGAAGCATTTCCAGAGAGCACATCCCACACAGGATGCACAGTAGGGACACTCCAGGGAGTTCCTTAACCTGACGTTCATGTGGGGAAGTATCCTGTTGCCTGTAAGTCTCCAAGCCTCAATAATCAAAACAAACATAAGAGGGGGAAAAAAAAAAAGAAAAAAAAAAAAGACTTGTTTCTCTTTTATTCCTCCCAAGCTACCAGGGTAGGTGAGGCAGATCTGCTGTCCTTTCAGGGGCGGGAAGCTGGGGCTCAAGGCGCAGGGCTGTTGTTTTGTGCACGCTGCAAGGCAGCTTGCCTGGTTCACCATTCACATCAGACGGTGCGAGCCCGCAATTCCAAGGGTTTCCCACATTGCCCCATTCACGGTGTTAAACTGCCAACAAAAGAAGTGTGCCTCGGTGGGTCCCGAGCAGAAAGCTAACGCCTGCTGCACCATCTGCCCGCGCCGAGGAACGGATAATGCTTTAATCAGCGCGAGCTGGTTTAGCCCTTGGGAGCCGTGGGACGTTGGTGATGGGATGGCATTATTTAAAACCACTCACTTCGTATCTCTGGAAATTGGGATGAACTGGAAATTGGGTCACAGCTTCCTTCCCACCTCGCTGAGCCCTTGGCCTTCCCACAGGCCACAGCCTTTCTGCGTGGGCCCAGAGCTGCACAGCACACCCAGAACGGACATACAGCAGGGATTGCACCTAACAGTGCCGGCCACTGACTGACAAAATAATGCTAGGAATTGATTTCCAACAGGACTCATGCTCTCTGCTCAGCAATAGGTTTTTGCCAACCATCAGCAATGACAACAGGTTGTGGCCTTGCTGACGGTGACGCTGAGTGCAGGGAAGCAGGCTGACCGCAGCTGGCACAGGAAATGAAAGGTTTCCTCATCAGTTTTGAAAGATCGGCAGAGGAAGCAGAGAGGGCTTCCACGAACACTGTTGTAGTGAGAAATGGGTACTCAAGCACTAACAGTGCCAGCCTCTGACCTTGCATTTGCAAGGGCACGACTGCCCTGCCAGCTCCATATTGGATGGAGCTGGGGCAGAGGGCCCAGAACCTGCAGCTGCCTGGAAAACATCTCAGAAAGGTAGCTTTAGCCCCAGATCCTGCCTGCTCCCTTCTGCTTCCTTAACTGCCCTGTAATGCACAAAGCAAGGTACTGAGAAAGCCCAGGGTGGCAGAGAGTCCCAGGGTATCCTAGCAGCTGTGCTTACATCCAGCAAATAGGGTAACGCACATAAATTGATAGCAAGAACTGACCTTCCTACAGCTCAGCTGTCTGTACAGGGAAACTATATTCAGGGGCTTTGCTTAAGAGGCTCAGAACCGAGGGAACAGGGAGGCATTTGCAAACCGCCGTGAAATCAAATAGGACACATTTGGGAAAGGCCTCATAATCATTACATGCCACGGGCTGCCATAGGAGAGCCCAGATTATCCAAACAAAGCAAGGAAGAGCTCTTAATATGCCTTACAGACGGACTTGACACATTTAAACAAGGGAAAGGAAAATATTGCGAGCTAACAGCTTACAGCAAGTTGTTTCAAGGGTTCTTCCCTTGATTTCACTCTGTAGTTGTCTAAAAATTACCTGGTACTGTATTCATCTAAGCACGGTTTAATGTCAATGAGGGGGTTTACTCCCTCTAATTCTGCATCTTTTCCTTTTCAAGCTCTCTTTTGGTCATTTGGCATTATCTCTTCCTGGGATCAGTCTTCTGTGCTTAATTTCAGCACAGCCTGGGAAAAGGCAGCACATTGAGATGTCGCCGTTCCCAACATCAGGCAGAAGTTGGATTATAATGACGGCAAATGCTTTCCCATGTTCTTACCCCAGCGCCCTCATGCCAGGCCCTATTGTGTCACACGCTCCTCCGTCCACCTGCTCCTTTGGGAGCAGGGTATTATCCCCAGGCAATTCACAGTCAATTTACCATGCTGTAATAGATGCTGTCCCTATTGTCCCGGGGCACACATGGATTGGCTATCTCGACTGTGGGAAACTCAAAGTAGCTTTGGACCCATACATTTGTATGCAGCTCCTGCATATAAATAGAGCAACTCTCCACTGCTTTCCCCACCGGCCAAGCAGCCAGCTCCGTGCTGACAGCAGCTCTCGGATAATGGCACCCAGCGCTCTCTCCCTGGAAATCCTGACACCCAAAGAGAAGAACAGAGTAAGTATCCGCTCTGACTGCAAGGGCACATGGCTGAGAAGGGCTGAGCCTCTTTAGCAGAGGATGACATAGAGATGGAAGGGGAAAATCATGTCACTAACTGTCCTCCTGCTTTGTGTTACAGCTCAGAAAACCCATTGTAGAGAAACTGCGTCGCGATAGGATTAACAGCAGCATTGAGCAGCTGAAGGTGCTGCTGGAGAAGGAGTTCCAGAGACACCAACCCAACTCCAAGCTGGAGAAAGCCGACATCCTGGAGATGACTGTCAGCTACCTGAAATACAGCCGAGGTGAGCACACACCCTGATCCCCGACTGCTTGCTGCCCTTGCTTTCTGACACAACAGCCATCTGAGTCTGCCTGCCTAACGCTTCTTTCCTCATCTTCTCTTTCAGCTTTTGCAGCATCTGCCAAAAGCCTACAGCAGGATTACTGCGAAGGGTATGCCTGGTGCCTCAAAGAAGCTCTGCAATTCCTCTCTCTCCATTCAGCAAACACAGAAACCCAGATGAAGCTGATCTGCCATTTCCAGAGGTCACAAGCAATGCCCAAGGACTCTGGTTCTCCTTCTGCACCCACTTCCACTCACCACCCCTCTGCAAAACAAGCACCAGCAAAGCCCTCCTGCAACCTCTGGAGGCCTTGGTAGGCCAAGAGCACGTCCACCATCACCTGGACACTGGTGCACATTCCAGAGGAGACCACGACTTGCTACAGAAGTCCCCCTACTCCTCTCACCAGTAGGAAAAAATGTTTTCCTTCTGCAGAGCATTACTGCACATGGATGCCTGCTTCCCTTCTTCCAGAAGGACTGAAACGTTCCCACCACGTGGAAAGAAAGTTATTCTGAAGGAATGCGGCACGTAACCCTCCTGCTAGGAGGACCGAGTTGTTCAGAGAGGAACGCTGACTGTTCTTAACCTTAGTGAGGTTGCACGGGTACATCTGTTGAGAAAGCTGTAACTGCTGAGATGTTTGGGTCAGTGTTTTCAGGTGTCTGCTCAGCAGCAGCCCCCCTGCATCCTGCCCCGCTTGGGACCCCCACACCACCTGCACCTGAGCTGCAGGCAGCAGCTGGGGCTGGGCTAAGCGCAGACATGTGAAAACCTGGCTGCCAGCAGGTTCTATGATATTTGTAGACTGTACTGAGCTCCGGAAATGGTTACACCAGAACTCAAGCTGCGTAGAGGAAATTCCTCGGGATGTCTTGCTCGCAAAGTCAGAGTGCTGTTTGTGAGGTTCAGGATATGTATGCCTTTTATAAAGGCAAGACCTCCTTCTAATATCCTTATAGGAATGAAAGTTACGGCCGTGTTGTCGATTTTACATGAAATATTTATCAGTCTTTTATGAAAGGCAGTTGTACAAATAATATTTACTGTTTGGTAGCCCCACCGGGGAGAATGTAAAATCAGTGCTGTCCTTGAAGGATGTTATGATGTTATGTGCGAGCTGCACCACTGCATAACTCGTGTCAGAAACCATCCTGAATTCAGGGGTTGCACAGAATAAAAATTGAGTTAAGAAAGAATAACTTGTTGGGTTTATTGAATGATTTACACAGCTGATTTCCCTGCAGGTCCTGGCTCACCCTCAGTTTGTGAGCTGAACAGGCAGATTTTGGTACAAAAGCACACGTTGCTGGGAGCAGCCGTCACTGCTCCACGTCCGCTCAAACCCCCAATGCTGCTTTCCAGAAATGAACACAAAGCTCCACATTAACAAACGGGGCTCTCAATACGAGGCAAAACCAGAGGCCTCCCCACTCTGCGAGAGGTTTGGAAGCTTAGAGCCACATCTGTCAAAGGAGGTCAGAGCAAGGGCAAAGGGAGACTCACACCCCCCTCCCAGACACAACCCACAGGCCTCACAGTTTGCTGAGGCGCTCATCGCCCTGTTCAGCATCCCGTGTGAGCCACCCAACGGGCACTGCACACACTGGGCAAAACCAGCAGGGCTGCCACACAGCTGAGGACCGTGAAGAGAGCGCAGACATCGGCTGCACGGATGCAACGCAGCTCAGGTGAGGAAAGGCGCTTCGCACAAACAGCGCTTACTACAGAAAACGGCAGCCAGCACAGCCCTGACAACACTCCTGCTGCCTGGGCTTACCTGCGGCCCACCAGAGACGAAGAAGGTCCACAGGGGCTGATGTAACAGCATCGACGCCCGCACGGCGGCTGTGGGGCCCCGCACAGCGCAGCACCGTGCCGACGCCGGCCCGCTCCCCTCAGCACTGAGGCGGGAAGAGGCGCGAGACCGACCGTTACTCCGCGCACGCGCCCAGCACGGCCGTTACCCGCCGCACGCGCTCAGAGCAGCCGTCGCTCCGCGCACGCGCACAGGGCAGCCGTTGCTCGGCGCACGCACGCCCCTCACCTCCTGCCTCAGCCACGCGCCCCGCCTCGTTAACATGCAAATCTATGCACATACGTTTGCATACCGATGAGGCCGGGCGAGGAGCGGGGCTAGCGTTCAAAATGGCGGAGCGGGGAGGCAGAGGGAGCGGCGGGCACGGCAGTTTGGATAAGAGCATCACCCTCCCGCCTGATGAAATCTTCCGCAACCTGGAGAACGCCAAGCGCTTCGCCATCGACATCGGTAACCGGGTGGGGACGGTAGCGCGGAGGAGGGGGGAAGGGCGACGGCTCTCTCCCCGCTGCGGGGACTCACCGGGGCCCGTTTCTTTCTGGCGCGCGGGGCACACTGGGACGTGCAGTCCTATGCAGTCCCCCGAGCTGCCCGCGCCGCCGCGGAGCCCCAGAGTTTGACTACAGCTGCCATCACGCAACGCGCTGAGGGGGCGGCGCGGGGCACAACGGGATTGGAAGTCCCGTCCCCGGGCGGCGGCGCCGCGCGGGCGGAGAGCAGCACTACAGCTCCCGGCGTGCCCCGCGCGGCGGTAATGGGCAGCGGGGGAGGGGGGGGAAGCCTAGCTGGGAACAGTGCGGGGCTGCCCTTGGCGGCGGAGAGGGGCGAGGAAAGGAGAGCCCGGCGGGTTGAGGGACGCGGGCTGCTCTTCCGCGGGGCTCGCGGGCTCGGCTGCTCCCCACGAGACGGCGGGGCCGGGAGCTGCTCGGTGGCAGCAGGCCCGAACGGCCCCGGGTGCGGCACAGCTGAGCGGAGCCCTGGTGGGGGCCGCGCTGTGAGAGCTGTGAACCGCAGTGCCCCTTCACACGGCCCGCTGCTGCTGTACAGAATGCTGCGGTCAACACAAGCGGTTTCTCTCCCACAAGGTTTGCAGGAAAGCTTCTCCACGTAGCACACAAAATCACTGAGGTTTTTTTTGTTGTCCCTGTTTCGCTTTTTAAAGAAGAAAAACCTCACCTGTAGGCGATCAGCAGCTTCGGGTTTTGTGTACCACGAACGTTACAGCATTGCCCGGTGCCCTGAAATAACATCTGGGGGCAGGAAAGCTTTATTGCTTTTGTTACTATAAGTGTCTGCCGGGGGTTGCTCTGCACTGACCTCGCTTGAGCGCTGCTGGAGAATGCCTTCCGTTTTTCTCCTAGATTGCTGAAAAATTCCATGTTGATCTCAGCATTGTGGAAGAGACAAGCTATGTTTGTAGCACTGCTTCGTAGGCAAAGCTACAGGCACCAGCAGATTAGTTTTCAAGCTGCATTCCTTGATTACATTCATTTGTAAGGCAGCCGAGTTAGGACCACTGCACTTAGCAGTTATGTTATGAACTGACAGACTTCTTACTGGTAGGACTCAGGATTTAACCAGAAGCTGGTTATAATTGTTTGCTTGGTCTTGCACACACGTACTGAGAAGGCAGTGTGCCAGATCTCTGGCCAGAGGCCAGCTATGCATACAGATTTAAACACAGCTATGGGATAGAACTGCAGCACTGAGAAGTACGGACCTTCTGAGTGCCTTGTAGTCACGTTTGAGACGTGAGTACAAAGTTAAAGCTGTCTTTCTATATGATAAGGGTGCTTGGTTTGCAGCCCATGCTACTTTTATCTGAGTTAAAATTGTTTTTCCTCCAACAACCACAGCAGCTGTTTTATGAGGCTTACTGATACTTTAATACGTGAGAGGTTGAAAGGATTCCCCTCATACCTCCCCTATTTCTGAGGAAAGAAAAAAGCACATGTTTTAACAAACGTTTTGACAGCTCTGTATGTTCAAGCTCAAACATCCACTTGTTTAAGACAGCAGGTACTGATTTGCCCAAAGAAAAATGAGTAAATCAAGTTATTCAGTCTGACTTCATGCATTGCTCAAATGTGGCAAGCTTACATATAAAATGTCCTTGTAAGCAGCAGATCTGGGGGCTTGTAGAAAGTTTTCAACTGCACGGAGTGTATGCTGTGCTGATACCTGCTTTGCCTTTGGTTATTTACTCAGCTCAGATAGCTGAGTATTTCAACTGAGCTACCTGTAGAGCAGGCAAACATGGTGGTATAGATGAGTAAGAACTTGTGGAGATGGCTGGAGATGAACAGAAACAAGATGCATCAGCTGCTCTATGTGGATTTCCTGGAGTTCTTCTCACATAGTCATTTGCCACTAACTATGCCAGGTTTTAAGACAAGGGTTCTTTGATTACTACATTATGCACTTAGCTTAATTGTATTTGGCTTTAGAAGAAGAGAACTCAGCTAAAAACTCTTAGGTAAAGCGTACATAAACATAAGTTAGGTTGTTTGCTGTAAGGTGAGGCATTAATCATAAGTTGTCATCTCTTTTAACAGGTGGCTCATTAACCAAGTTGGCTTATTATTCAACTGTGCAGCACAAAGTGGCAAGAGTGAGATCCTTTGATCATTCTGGAAAGGTAAGGACTGCATCATTAATGAATTGCATGAGATTGACTCATAGCAAAGGTAGAACTGGAAGTAAGGTACTGGGCTTTTCGTAGTACAACAGAAGTCTTCTTTGAAAGCTGTCTAGTGCTTCTTTCTATACAAAACATTATTTGCAGTTTACTCAGTTTGACTTTCTGTAATGCCTCTGTTCTGGGCAATCTCCATTGTGTTTCTAGCTTTCACCATGACGGTGCTTAGATTGCTACAGTTACTGTCTGAAATAGTTATTTTCTAGACAGATCAGTATGGTACTTCTGAAAAACGTGTAAACTGTTGTTTCATACGTGTTTTGATTTCATGCATGGAAGAAAATTTACCATATATTTTTAATTGTTTTCTTTTAAAGGACATAGAAAATGAACCTTTGTATGAAATATCAGTTCAGGAGGAGATAACAGCTCGCCTGCACTTCATCAAGTTTGAGAACAATTATATCGAAACTTGTCTAGATTTCATCAAAGACCATCTTGTCAATACAGAGACTCAAGTCATCAAAGCTACAGGTGGTGGTGCCTATAAATTTAAAGATCTTATTGAGAAGAAGTTGGGGTTGAAGTAAGTGAAACTGTTTAAAGTGAGTTCAGTATCGTTGAAGTGACACTTCGCTGCCTTATAGCGGGCAAACTTTCTACTTTGCCATTCTTCCCCTAAAAGCCATCTGCATAGAGAAGTGGAGGCTGGAGGACACGTGTGCATCTTGGTCAGGTCGGGCTGAACCCAGTAGTTAGTGAGCAGGAGTTGCAAAAGGATACTGCATCATTAACTGGCAGGGCAGAGGTCTGTAGGAAAGCCAGGGAGCTTCAGGAGAAAGGCAGTGAAGGAAGAAGTATGATGTTATCAAAGCTTTTCTTGAAGGGATTTGTTTGCAATAGCTTTTTTTTATGTTTTTTAATTAAATTACTCTGTATTGAGATGATCTTTTTTTTACTCTTCACCTCCCAGCTAGCAGCATTTCAGTGGTGCTACCCTACTTGTCAGTGCTGTTGAACTTTCAGTCATCATCCAACTGCACAAAACCTCCAGCTGTATATAAAGTACAGTATTTGAGCTGTAGCAAGCAGGAAATAAGTTTGTTACAAACAAGTTTAATTGGGAATCTTTGATCAGATACTGTGATGAGGTGTATTTATTTTAATTATGAGTCATTACTTAAAATCCAAAGATGCTATCTACAAGAAGGCTGTATTATTAAAAGCCAAGTTATTGCTGGCAAGCTTATTTTTATTCTGTATGTACCTAATACTTATAGCTACCTGGGTTCTGAAGTCACAGTTACAAAACCTTCTACTATTTTTGTGAGCATGCCCAGAAGGTAAATAATTGAAACAACACAGTAATTTATTGCATAGATCCTGCCTGTACTTCATGCAGAGGCAGAGCCTTGCAGGAAACTGAAGGGTTCACCATTCACACACGTTTATCAAAAGCCATATGCTAAAAAAGCTGCTGTAAGTACAGATAATTGTATCATTCACTTACAGCAGTATAGAATGTTACCTCACACAGCATATTTCTCAGTTTCTAAGGCACTCTCTTCATCTCCTTTTACACTGCTTTTTTTGCATAACTTTCTTTTTCTGATAGGTAGAATTCTGCTGACATGTTGAAACAGACTTGATTGGTCCCCAAGCAGCTTTTCTTTCCTGAGAAACATAAAGCATTCTGTATTAGTCGAGATGTTTAATTGTGTTTTGCTTTTGTGTTTTTAGTAAAGGTTTTTGATACTTCATTTAAGAAATTTAGCACACACCAGTAACAACATATTAGATACAGAAGTTTGCAGAAGTAACCTTTGGCTAACTCTGACATCCACCCTATCTGAGCTTCCCTGCTCAGGGATTCACTGTTCAGATCCTGTTCTTGTCATGAAGTGTCTGTGTGTGTTCAGAGATGCCAGCAGCAGGCTGCTTGCTGTCATCGTGATCTGCCATAAATGAGTGGAAATGATGCTGTAGTCTTTTTCCCTTCTTAAGAAAGCATGGGAAGAGCAATAGATTATTAGGCCACGTTAGAAAATAGTTGTGTTGTCTTAACTACCAGATGGGTTTCCTGGCCTGCTGTATCACATGGGCACACATGTAGCTGTGTGAGCACTGGAGCAGTGATGGAGACACAGACAGGAGCAGGAGCATTTTACTGAGGAACGATTAATGAAGATCAAAGCGACTGTGTAACTACAGCCTCACTCTGGTCTGTGTGTTCTGGCACTGAAGTTGAATGGTGGAGCATATGCAAATCTGGGTTTCATGGTTTAAAAGATCTGGACTTTTGCTGCATGTAAAGACTTGTAAAGTCTTTAAAACCAATGTTCTGAAGCAGCGCTTGGTTATCAGTGAGGCTGTGACATTTCTAAGCTCCTTTCCCTTCCCCACTTCAGAGTAGATAAAGAAGATGTGATGACCTGCCTGATCAAAGGATGCAACTTTCTGCTGAGGAACATCCCCCATGAAGTGTTTGCATACCAGAAGGATTCAGACACAGAGTTCCGATTTCAGACAAATCACCCAAACATTTTCCCATACTTACTGGTGAACATTGGCTCTGGGGTTTCAATAGTGAAGGTGAGTGGTTGCTAAAATCTGTTGGGTCTTTTTGTTTGTTTTGGATTTTGTAGAATTGATGAAGATGAGCTGAAACTTTAAAATTTTAAATTTGTAGCTGTTTCTTGTTGGGTGACACAAAACTTAGAATGAAAATCACTTCTTTTTTTTTTTTAACTTTCAATTTCTTACAGAGTTAGAAATGCTTTTCCATTCCTTACTGTAGTTAATCTTTTCAAATCACATTTAATTTGGTATTCAGAGAAGTTGCTCCACGAACTGATAGGACAAAGACTGTCAGATAAGAACGACTTTTCGTACATTGCTTATGGAATTAAATTTAATATCCATATTTAGGATTCTCACCCAATAATTAAATACAAAGATTTTAAGTGCTACTTTTGGGGTGGGTGTGTGGAACCTGTATCTCTGGATAACCTTTTGCCTGGTATTTCTGCAGTGAAATTGTTCTGCCTGCACCAATTCCACTTCTCATGAAGTTCATGTACTCTCAAATTATAACTGTTAATAAACAGTAAAATAGGACTTTCTAGATAAATGTGCTCTGTTCTGTTGACAGGTAGAATCAGAAGACAAATTTGAATGGATAGGAGGGAGCTCAATTGGAGGTGGAACCTTCTGGGGTCTTGGAGCACTGCTCACTAAAACAAAGGTATCGAAACCTCAATGTTAAGGAGCGTGTGAATATACAAAATGCTGAGAGAAAGCCTGAAATAGTGGAATGCCAAATGCTTTAAACAGGGAGACATGATGATTCAACGTGGTATTTGTATGGGAAATTAGAAGCCCAATATCAGCACAGTAGAAGATGTGGAAAAATGTGTATGTGTCTCTCTTGCAGAGCATTCTTCTATTTAAGAACTGCTGTCTTTGTACAGAGAGAAAAGGGGCAGTTTTGCAGTGCTTGGGACAATTTTAATGACCTCCATGAGGAGCGTGTGGTCCTGGACTGTTAGATAAAGGCTGAATGCTTGGTTTATGTTCATACCTGTAATGCTTCTGAAGCATAAAGGGGAGCTTTACATGCAAAAGGATACAAGTAGAATGCAGGGACAAAAGTGATTAAATGCTCTGTGGCAAAACAGTGATTCTGTTTGAGTCTGCAGGAGCATCCATAGGAGCAAAACAGAGTGCTTAATTATTGCAAAATGTGTGAGAGTAGGGAAGGGGAATTGCACCTCTGTTATTCTTTTCACTTTCAGGGATTCAGCGCTTCAATCTCAGGTTGGTGATGTGCCAGAATAAGGCCTCATCTCGTACTGCTGTGCCTAGCTCAGCTCTTCAATCATGCTGTTTTTTCCTGTCTCAGAGTTGCATGTGACTTAAATAGGAGTCACTAAATGTCACCAGTGTAGAAAAAGCTAGAGTTACATAGCCACTAGATAAGAAAATGTCAAAGGGAAGACCCATACTCAGAATATTTTGTTCGATGCATTTCAAAAAGAAATCCTGGAACATGACAGTGTCTGCTCTTTTTTTTTTTAATGTATTTGTAGAAGTGGGAATTAGCATTAGCAAATTCATAATACAAGCTATTAGGATGATGCAGGGTTGTTTTTTTGTTTTGTTTTTTTTTTTAAAGCTTAATCTCAGGGACATCCATGCATTTCTGCATCTGTAAAGACAGACTTTGTCTGTTCACTTTTTAATCTTACATTTTTGTTTGCCTCAAGAAGACTTCACTCTACTTGCTGTGCTGCTGACTTCATTCCAAGACAAGATATGTGAAGGTTCTGTTTCATATGCATTAATCTGGAGATTAAAGGTGCTAGACTGGGATAACTTTTTGGTGATTTACTTGCTGAAATATTATAAATCCTTTCGGTGGTGTTGGATAAAGTTGTTTTTCCACCTAGTTTTAATTCTTTGTTCACTGGGGTTGCATGTAGGAGAGAAGTTGGCAAACTGTGCTTTACTTAATGCTGTACCAGTTCTGGATGACATCATTTTGCCAGAGAGCTTTCAGTTCTCCAGATTACTGCAGGGTAGACAATTTAGACAACGTGATTCATCTTGCACTCAACCTTTAGTTCTCAGGAAACATGCAACAAAATATTTGCAGGTTAGAGTCACAGAATGACTGAGGTCGATCCTGTGATCCAACCCCTCTGCAGATCATTTAAGAGGATAGTTGCATTTCATCATTAAAGGCTCTCCACTTAAGATCAGTGATAAGATGTGGACTCCAGATAGAAGTGATGCAGGGTTGGTTCCAAGCCAAAGCCCATATTTTTTTCTGTCAATAAGAATGCTTCACAACTCTTGCCGTGTGGGCAAGGATCTCTGGCTGTCTTGAATACTTGCAGTAACTCTGCTTCTCATCCTCAGAAATTTGATGAATTGCTGCAACTTGCTTCCAAGGGACAGCACACAAACGTAGACATGCTGGTGAAAGATGTGTATGGAGGCGCCTGCCAGACCCTGGGGCTAAGTGGGAACCTGATAGCAAGCAGCTTTGGGAAATCCACTACAGCAGATAAAGGTATTAGTATAGAAATATCTACTGAAGATTTGCATGCAAATAATACCCTCTATTGCCTGTCAGATTGGATTTGCTACTTGTACAAACTTCCTCCAGACATTTAAAAGGACAGAAAAATAGTTGCCAGTTTTATCAGCAAAAATACGTGTTGCCATATCCATTTTCTGATGTCATGCATGTGGGCTGAGAGGGGATGTGGACTGCTGCCTGCACTGCTCCACTTGTTTAGAGTTCTTTGAAACTATTGAGAAGAAATGCAACCATCTCCCCTGGCCCTTGGGTGTCTGATGTTTGTCGTGTTCTCAAACAAGTAGAGCTGAAAAATAACCACCTTTTCATGTCCTTCTCATGATCTCACCTACATATTTTGCCTACAATACTTTATTGAATACGTGTGTTAAGTGGGACTGCCTTGCAAGCAGATGTTTGGATTTTCAGTTCGGGATTCTGGAAGTCTAGGCAAACAAAAAAATATCTGTCGTAAGTTTGCCAATGTAAATTTATGCATGTGGGAAATATAATTGGCTCTGTTTGTCCAGAAAAAGATGTATGGCAGAAATTTGTAGCTTTCTTTGTAGTGTCATAATAAAATACTTGCAGTGCATCACATATCTAGATGGAGAGATGATCCACCTTTCCTAAAGAGGTGAAATTGAGTCAATGCCATTTACTCTTGGCCTTTCAAGCAGGTTTCTTTCAGGCTATATTTTATGGAGGCTTGGTGTTTTCCTTCTATCTTCAGATTGGTCTTTTTCAGCCCTGGCTGTAGGGCCTCTGCTTAAAAAAAAATATATATAGATATATATATATGTATATATATGTAAAAACATTTTGAGCATTCTTAGGCTGTACTAATTTGGCTCACTGTTTCCTTCCTTTAAGAGTTCTCCAAAGAAGATATGGCAAAAAGTTTACTCCATATGATCAGCAATGACATTGGTCAGCTTGCCTGCCTCTATGCCAAACTCCATAACTTAGATAAAATATATTTTGGAGGATTCTTTATTCGGGGTCACCCTGTTACCATGCGCACAATAACCTTCAGTATCAACTTCTTCTCAAAGGTAATGGAAACAGAATTTTTCCTAATTGCAGATTCATGTGCCTAGGCATCTTTTCTAGGTGATAGGGAAGCTTTGCTAAGTCTCACGTTCAGTAAGGACTGGGGTTAGGTAGGTAAGGCAGGGCCTTGTTGTGGGAGGGTAAAACAAATGTGAATTTCCTAGGAGTTCTGTTTGGCCTCTATCTCTCTGTGTATTTGTTTGTTTGGTGGTTGTTGGACACTGTGTCTTGTAGCTGCCAAGGATTGGGCTCTTATATTTGTTTAGATAGCTACCATTATTATTCAATTCCTCTTGCTGACTTCACCTATTTCTTTTCACCCCCAGGCTATGCAATGTTGGATTGCTCTGCTGAGATAGTTAGCAACTAGCATCAGTAATTTTTGGTTGGTCGATATGTATATATATTTTTAATTTGTTTTGGAAAAGGAAGCAAGCTGTAATTCTTTGCAGCTTTTGAAGCTGTGGCAAACACTAAAGATATTTCAGTGGAACAATGGTCTAATCCAAAAGTTCACATACAGCTCGTTACAGGTGGATCAGTTCCTCCACCATCACACTGCATACTGAAGTATGACAGAATTGATGACTTATTTTTTTCCTCAGTGCTTCAGGCAAGAGACTCCTATAAAATGCTTGTATTTCCCCTTGTTTAACCTTGCAGTCTTTCTGCAAGTTAGGGTAAGAACTTGGTTGAGTTTCAAGAAAGCTACAGCTTTAGATTCTTGTAAGCACAGTTTTATCTGTACAAAATCTCACTGTGAATTATGTATTTCCTCACTACAGCTAAGCCCAGTTAACTTTTCCTACATGACCTGCTGTAGACAGAGCTTATTTTCCTTCAGAGGGGACAGCGTCTCACCATAAGAAAACTAAGGGTGTTAGGTGGGGGATGATCCTGTTCTCCCTACCGTTCCTGTTAACACTTAAACTGGATTAAATTCATGGGGAAAGTGCTTGTCTGTGATAATATACAGGGTGACTGGATGTTGCTGCATGTTCAGTATGAAATAGAATAACCAGTGGTGTGGGTGTGGTGGATGCACAGTGACACGTTTATGTTGATGACCTGGAAATCAGATGGTCTTACATTTTCAGCCTGTTCAAGCAAGAGGAGTTGAGTACTCATGGAATAATGCAGCAGTCTTTTCTAGTGAAGCACTGGCTTCCCTCTGCTTCTGTGGTTGTGCAGGCTTAGAATACACACCACTTCTGCATGTAATTTTTTTCCAGCTGTCTTAGAATTGTGGAATGATGTATGTTAGCCGTTCCTCCTGAAGCTGTCTTTCAGAAACACCATTTTTTGGTGCACCATTAAAGTTACTGAATGTGTTAGAGTGTAGTGCAAATGAATATTATCATCTTCTAGTTGTTTCTATTAAATTTAAGTGTAAATCTAGTGACAAAGAAGTAATGTTAGCCATCAGGGACCATCCAATTGCAATGTTTCATATTGTGGCAGGGAGAGGTTCAGGCATTGTTCCTGAGACATGAAGGCTACCTGGGAGCCATTGGGGCATTTTTAAAAGGAGCTGAACAAGACAGTAAGTACAGCATTGCTATGTTCTGTATATGCTGTGTTCTGAAATGTCAGTGTAATGTCCAAGTTTCTCTTAAGAGGCTGCATGTAAGTTGTTGCCTAGATAAACACATTTGGCACTAATAAACACAGATGCTGGGCTTTGCTTTATATATTTTGGCAAGGGTGTGATAATTTCTCACTGTTTTCCTGCTTGCCTCTGAGAATCCAGCAGGATTTGGCTCTTCTCTTTTCTGCATTTCTGCAGTCATACCTCTAAATCAAATCAGGGAAATTGAGTTTGAGAACTTTCTTCCTCTTAAAGAGGCCAGCTTTTGAATTCAGTTAATGTTCTGAAGAAGAACAGCATCTCAAAACTGTGTTCATTTGAGAGTGAAAAGCCTCATAAATGTTTATAAAGAATGAGACAATTCTTTCGAGCATTCTTTGGGTGTAGGATGCTTTGGTCGAATTCTGCCATTTGTATTTTCTTGTTTTCTCTTTGTGCTACGTGCCATTCAGTACATTCATCGTAGTGGAACAAATCACAGGGTGTTATGGTACTTAGCTTTAGTAAATATCACGTATATCTCAGAACAGTGGAAGCCATTTTGTACCACTCCATAGATAACAGCAAGGAACTCAGCTCAGAGCTGCCCAGGTGTGAAAGTTGTTGTTCTGTTGGCCATATGGCGAACATCTCAACTTCCAGAAACTCTAAAGAAAAAAATGTGAAAGTAACTTCAGCGCTCATGTGAAGCTTACACTGTGCTCTGAGAGTTCTGCAATCTGTTCTGTTAATGATGGACATTTAAAAACAAACAAACAAAAAACCCAACTCTCTAATAATAGAAGCTTTAGCCATCTATAGTGCTTAAAGAACAGGATTTCTTCAATAGCTCTTAATGATTAGGAAAAGAAAGGGGTTAAGAAAAAAATGCTTTTTGAATTGTAATCTTGTGTCTCATTTGAAGTTCTTTAGAGTTGGATGATTCAGCAAGTAGTTAAAATATAACTGTTGGGACTTAGAGGGGAAGAAATAAATATATTTTTAAAGACAAAGAGAAATGGCTTTTGCAGTGGAACAGCTTCTCTGTAGAGATGCTGGCTGTAGACTCATTCATGTGAGTATTTTCAGTTTTATTTTCAGATTATGTGTCTCTCTCTTTCTCTTTTCTAGATCCAAATCAATATAGCTGGGGAGAGAATTATGCTGGGAGTTCTGGACTTATGAGCACATCACCTGATGTCTACCCCATGCAGAGGACCCGGAGTGGTACAGTATGTGGTTGCCTTTCCTAAAATGAGTGTTGGCACTTAGATCTGAACTTAGATGGCTATTTTAAAATCTAGTTGCTCCTTACCCCTGGGACCGTGCTGCTTTACCAGAAGTGGCTGACATGGTGCCTTAAGTCACGTGTGATGGTTTGACATGATATTTCTTAAAAGACTGTGCCTGCTACTTTGTCTTGCTCAGCATCACTAAAGGAGAGAGACAGCCTGCTGCTGCTGCTGCCCTTTCTTTGAGGTAGCTTGGCTTTGCTACAGTTGAAATACTGTACTTGAGAATTTTGAATCTGACAGATTCAACAGAATGTCTTGTTAATGGCTGCATATACTAACGTGCAGTTGTCTGCAATCCTGAGTTGTCTGAGAATGGGTTTCTGTAGGCCTTGTGCTTGTTTAATTTCTAGTGAATCAATTTCTGAGTAAGTTCTAATAAATCTTTTGTTTTTCACCTAGTTTGACATGTTTGAAATGGATAGGTTGGAGAGACCGCTGGTTAACCTGCCACTGCTGAAGGACCCATCAACCTATATTCCAGACACTGTTGACCTCACAGATGATGCCATGGCCAGAAAATACTGGCTCACTTGTTTTGAGGAGGCGTTGGATGGGGTAAATATCAGAGGAGTTGTACCTACAAGTGGTGCACATACTTCATGTGGACCAAGCTGTTCAACCACACAAAGTGCACCTGTATGTCAAACCTATTGCAAATAAGTACCTCTTCCCTGTCTCTTAATTGAAAATATAAATCAGAAACTTCGTAAGTGTTGAGTTGGGGGCTGGGAAAAACACTAGGAGAACACATTGACCTGACCTTACTGTCACAGAGAAAGAATGAACACTGAGTGTTGATGTGCACCCACACCCTCATCCTTTTTTCTTGTTTGTTTTTACCCTTCTCTAAATAGGTGGAACTTGTGGCTCACCTCTGAAAGCACAGGGTTCAAAAACCAAAAAGCAGTAATAACAAAAAAAAACCCACCAACTTTAAATGTTTAGGAAGGAAAGAGGTGTTTAAAATTACTCTTTGGTGGTTGGCTTAATGGAAAGCTGGAGTATGCTGTGTGGGAGGGACAAGTGAGTGTGCAAGAGCAGAAAAATAGAGCAGATGGAAGGGTTGCTGTTCATCCCGAGCTTCAGGTCAGTTGCACAGAAGGAAGAATTGAAGTGGTAACTCCAGTGCCTCATTTCTCTACCAGGTAGCAAAGCGTGCTGCAGCCAGCCAGCCAGATTCTGTTGATGCACCTGAGAGAGCCGAAAAGTTCCGACAGAAGTACTGGAACAAGCTCCAGACACTCAGACAGCAGCCTTTGTAAGTGTCCTTGTTTCCCTGCTTTTGTAATCTGGCCACCTCTGCTGAGCAGAGCAAATTAAAAGCCAACTAAGCTACATAAATGCTTTTGTTCTTAAGCAGAGCAAGCTTAAAGCTAAGTAGGCTGAAGGCAGTAACAAATTGATGTGTCAGGTCCTCTGAACAAAACATTAGAATTTAACAGAAAAATTCCATCTATCTCAGCACAAAAATGACTAAAGGTCTTCAAGTTACTAAAAATGGTACCTGGCATCTTTACTCTGAACGTTTTCCCTCTCTGTATTTAAATAATCCATTTAATAGATGTACCACTTAGTGGCAGTATTCAGCACTTGTGGCATGTGAAGACTTCTAACTGAGGTGTTTGTCTTACATGCTGTACCTGTCTGGAATTCATCCTATTAATGGAAAAACAGGAGAAAATTACTTTTTTTTTTTTTCTTTTTTTTTTTTTCCTGTTTGAAGTAGTTGATCTGTTTTCCCCTCTCCTTTTTAAAGTGCATATGGCACCTTAACAGTTAGAAGTCTTTTGGATACAAGGGAACACTGTTTAAACGAGTTCAATTTTCCGGATCCTTATTCGAAGGTAAGCTGTTCTTGCTTTACAGGGCAGGCAGTGTGAGATCAAGGCACTGTTCTGTACTCGAATGCTTTGTATAAGTAATGGCTTACATACAAGACATTGACAGTTTAACTGGTTGGTTGTTGCTGTTTTCAGGACAGTTATTGATTGCTTTTTTTTCTTTTTTTCCTTTTTTGTAATTCAGATAAGATAGTGCCAACAAAAGATCTTGAGGTAAAGGTGGCACTCAGTCCCTTTTTTTATAAAAAAGAACTAGCTGTGTAACATTTGAGCTCATTGGCAATAGAAGAGGGATCAAGAGTCTTTAAGCATGTAGGATGATGAACTTTTTGATGCAAAAATTAGAACAACCCACACTTTCCCATCTTTTGCAGAACTGCTAGTGGTAAGCCTTCTCACCCAGGTTACCTGGTTTTGATGTTGCTACTTAAGTCTCTCTTTTTTGTGTCCATTCTCCCACTCCCCGTCTGCCCAAGGTCTACCATACCTCTCCTGTATTAAGACAAGTAATTCTCAGACTACAGAACACATGCTAGCACTAATAAAGCTGTTTATTAGAATCCCAGGCAACTTTTTTCTTGTTGGTACTAAGCATGCTGATAACAGTAACTTGTTGGTCCATTAGAGGCCATGAACGTAGAGGAGAATGCTTGAACGCGGTCTTGGGACTGAGACAGCCAATGATGGGTAAGGATTTTTTGTCCATAAATGCGATGTTTCATGTCTTTCTTACAGGTAAAGCAGAAAGAAAATGGCATAGCCTTAAAATGTTTTCAAAGCGTAATCGAATCTTTGGATTCATTAGGCTGGGAGGAGAGGCAGTTTGCTCTGGTGAAAGGACTTCTTGCGGGGAATGTCTTTGACTGGGGAGCAAAAGCAGTCTCAGAGTAGGTGTTAAATATTTTAAAAGCACCCTTTTAAGATATAGAATATCCAACTGTTGGTTTTCTGTTTTTGTTGTAGAAATAATGAAATGCACCAATCTCGTTGTAGTTTGTATTTAACCTTAATCATATGTTGGTTGTTCATTTGCAAGCATTACTGCGGTGCAGCAAAGTTTGTTTCCACCCTTAAAATCTGGCAGACATCACTGAATGTTTGAATTAAATGACAGACCACCTAATATTGCAGTCTGGCTCTTTGTTTGTAGCTGTTACTAGCTCTGCTTTTGAGTATGTGTTACATTTAAGCTGATATTATCTTCCTACAGTAGAAAATGTGCTCTCTCTGTAACCCCCAGTTGCCCTGATATCAGTGTATATTCAATGGGCTGTAAGCCAGGTTGGTGGTCTCTTAAAATAACTAAATCCCAGTTGTTTTCGATCAGCATACATTTTTACTGCCATTTTGAGAGCTCTCTTTCCATATATCCTGTCAGCAGCCATAAATTCAGAAAAGGATGTAAATGCTGTCAGTTTTGAAATATCTTTGTTTTTGTACTTCTAGATTTTACCTCTTTCTGTGGGGTTGATAATGCAGAGTAGGGGAGGTGGGCACTGTTCTGCAGCAAACATTCAGCGCTTCCTTTCCCTTTCTGCATCTTTGAGGAGTTTTCCCCTCATGAGTAAATAACAAAAAAATGCAAGTCAGTTCAAAACAAGGTGATTTGAGGCTACTTGGATCTGCGTTCTAATGCTGCCCACAACTGCAGAAACTTGAACTGACCCCAGTCACAGCAATTAGTCTGGTTGCCACTTGTCTAAGTGTAGCTCTCCCTCTGTTCGAGGAAGAAGCTAAGAGTTAAACATCACTTGGTACTGGACTGAAGGCACTTTATGAGACTTGACTGGCAAGCACTGCCCACGTGGAGTAATATTTTAACTGGCAGCTTAGAATCTGGCCTCATGTACATCCTCATCACCAGCTAAGTTTGAAGCTACTTTTCTATACATGCAGCCAATAGGAATGGCTTTTAAAACCTGTATTTAGTTAATTTCTTTTTTTCCTGCCTTCACACAAATACAACTCAAAATGTTGTAGACAGATCTCCAGATTTAACTTTGTAAAGTGTTGTTTTATGGCTATGATAGTTTAGATCATTACTATATTTATGGTCATCTGCAGATCCAAATGTTTGTTGTTTTTTTTTTTCCCCCATAGAGCAGTGCTTGCTAATCTCCCTAATTTAATGTACATGCAAGCCTTTTGTTTTTAAGGGTGGATCTATTTTTCAGTCACTGGACCTGTCCATACTCCCAATTATAATCCTGCAATAAAATTGCCAACAGCCTGCTATGCAAGTATTCAAATTAAGTGAGCTGAAGTTACTTAACTGCGTACCCTTTATTTCTTTTCTGATACAGTGTTCTGGAATGTGAGCCACAATTTGGATTTGAAGAAGCCAAGTCAAAACTGCAAGGTATAGGGGGGAGATCTGTAGTGTTGGTTAGATCTGGATATTGTGTTAATAAGAGAGTAAAGAAGAGTGTGATGGTATTTAAGATGGCAGTTCTGCTTGTGACAAGGACTCAGTAGCACTCACCAGTTTATCTGAAATGCAGTCTCAGTGGAATGTTGCTTTTTGTGTTCCAAACAAAGTGGAACCCAAAAACCTCTCTGCTGCCCCAATACTCAGAATATCCTGAATAGCCTGTGCTGTTTCCTGTAATGGTTCCAGTCCTGTCTTAGCAAGTGTCTCAAGGAACAGCAGCACCAGCCATCTCAGAACAAGCCATTATGAGAGCTTGCTCATATGACTGTATTGCTATCAGAAAAATTCTATTCCAAGGCCACTGTAGTTGAACTTCCAATAATTAAGAGTTCAGGAACTCTTTAACATTCAAAATCTGAGTTCAAGTATTCCATATCTTTAAAGAAACACCTCCTGCTTTGCATAATGTACAGATTTACTCTTTGCCTAAAAGTGATGCTAATACAATTTTGTCTGTGACACAGAACGTCCCTGGTTAGAAGATTCCTACAGTCAGTGGCTAGAGCGGCTGAAGGTACGAGTCCAGAATTACCACTGATCACTGAGTAACTGAATACATTACTCATGGAACAACCCTATTAAGCTTGTTTCTAACATTTCACATAGCCCTGTTCAGACAGCTCAAAACAAATTCTGTTAGTGCAGCACTAATAATTCAGCAATCATACCATACAGAAATAAAACAGACATTTTGTCACTTACCAAGCTTCTTGGCTTACTTTCTTCAGGAACTGCAGCATTTGGAATCCAGCTGCTTTCAAAGCTCTTCCAGCATAACCGTAGTGTCCCTTCTTTATCAGGGCACTTATTTCTGTTTAACTAGACCTGGAATTTTGAAAAATTGCATCCAAATGTAATGTTTGGATTGTCCCTTCATCTGAGTAGCCAGGCTAAAAATGACAATAATGTGGAGCTTTCTGAAAGTAATGAGCAACGTGTTGTGGTTTTTTTTCCCCCTGTGGGATGTCCACTGCTATTTCATCAGGTTTGGAAATGATGAACAGAATTTGCTACTAATCATTAGATATTACATCTTAAAACAGAAGTATCAGTTATTCCTCCACAACACTGCTAAAAAGCAGCATCCTGACAAACTGTTCTTAAAAATTACACGGTATTCACTGCAGAAGTTCTTCTGCTGGTACAACCTGGAGTGAACTGCATTTCATAACGTCAGATCTAGGACAAACTAAAGGTTAATGGAGAATAGGAAATGTCTTTTTATTTTAGGATGTCACTGCCCCCAGCAGTCCATCCTCCCCTTTCCTGGAGAAGGGAATCCTGTTTACCCTACAGCATGCTAGCTTATAACAGCCACAAAGGTAGGTTTACCCTAAAAACCACACAGGCAGCTATCCATGCTGCTGCTTGTATTCTACAGAATGGTATTCTCCAGCTGCATGGCATAACAAAACGTGATTCAAAGCCTAACCACCCCTCTGAAGGAAGCTCATGTTCACAGTTGCTGGAGTCAGACGTGTTTAATTGGCTGTTATAGGTTTAATTAATGGAGTTTGAAAAAGTGCTGTTAAGTGAAGTGGCTATAAACAGTTTTAATTAATTGTGCAAAGACAGCGTTAGAGAAACTGATTTCGCTTAAAATAAGGGTAGGTAAAGTTTTGATGAGCTATGCTCATCGAATAGATCTAGATAAATATAGGGCTATAAAATCTTGGGTCTTAGAACTGGTGTTTCTAAATAATACAAACTAGTCTGTGAAATGAACTGTGAACTCAATCCTAAATGCATTGGTTTTCTCTTGCAGGAGGGTCCCCCTCATAAATGTGCCTTAATTTTCGCAGATAACAGTGGAATAGACATAATTTTAGGCGTCTTTCCATTTGTTAGAGAGCTTCTTTCTAGAGGAACAGAGGTAAGTGGTCTTTCATTGTACAGGCAATACATAATGGAGCTTTTGTAACTGGTGAAAGGTTTGTTAAATACCTTCTGGCAGTGCACTGTATGAGACCAGCTCATAGCACCTAAAGTGGGAGTGATCTAATTTGAGACAGTGAGCTTGTTCCTAAATTCCTGGAAGTCTGAGGTTTAACTAAGTTTACTGCAAAGCAGAGCAGGGGTTAGGTCAGAGCTAAGCTTTCTAATGGAGGATCTGTAATGTCAGAACACCTGGAGTAGTTGGCTAGTTTGAGGAGAAAATAAGGACCAGGCCTTCAGGCTCTCTTTTCTTGATTCTGTTCTTATATAAGCCAGAGAAATGCAGTGTTCAAACAGACAGGCAGCTCTAACACCGTATATGGACTGTGTTAATCAATAAACTATTTTGACATCTTTGCCTTAGGTTATATTGGCTTGTAACTCTGGCCCTGCTCTAAATGATGTCACCTACAGCGAATCCCTGATCGTTGCTGAACGGATAGCAGCAATGGATCCAGTTATTCAGTAAGCATATAAACAGTCTTCATAACATATCTTAAAAAGCACAGAAGGAAGAAGCAAGCTCCTGGTTACATATGGAGTTCCTTATTTGTGTTCATTACTGTCTGAAATCTGCAACTAGAAGTAAGGTACAAACGATGACTCACTTCAATTATGGCAAAAAATTTAGAAAGCAGTTCTTAATTATATTTAACAGTATACATATCAGCTTCTTGTCAGTATCATCCCTGATAAGGACTCAAACTACTAAAATAGTGTATTTTATTTGTTAAAAAAAAAATTTGAGGGAAATATATGCTATTTCCAGCCTGTTTCCTGTAGAGGACAGGTAGCTGACTAGATAACCTGCTGCTCATGGAAGTGTGTTTCTGGGTGATTTCCTAGCAGGAAAAGAAGCCTTTGCAAAGAATACTCAGATATTCTTTCTGGCTCATTACCATATTTACATGACTGTAACTTTTTGTTTGTTCCTATTTTCAATTAAAGATCTGCACTGAAGGAAGAGAAGCTGCTGCTGGTCCAGACGGGTTCAAGTTCTCCTTGTCTAGATCTGAGGTATAATGGCAAGTTTGTCACTTTGTGTGCTGAAATACCTTAGCCACCCTTCACAAAAATGACTGAGTTGGTCTGCATTACAGACTTGTAATACTGATGAAGCCTTTCTAGTTGCTCTACAGCTTGTTTATCATTTTTGCTGTTCAGCAATTACATGCTGTCAATAATCCACGTGACTGTAAGAAGCACTTCATGTTACCTGTTTTTAACTGCCATTCTCTCTTGGACACAGAACTTAACCCGTGTTTTCTCAGAAATCCCAATTCTGCACACACTTAATGAAGCTTTTAAAACTATATTTTTATATATCCCATTAATTTTGATTAAGGTGTTACTGGTTATTGGCGTCAGTAATTCCATCCCCTGCCACGTTTCCTACAAGTGACAGGACCCTCAGAACATCTGCTTTTTCAGCTGCAGTGCAAGGATGACTATTTCTAACCATACCTCTCATTTCAGCCGCCTGGATAAAGGTCTGGCTGTGCTGGTCAGAGAACGGAAGACAGACTTGGTTATCATTGAAGGCATGGGTCGTGCCATCCACACCAATTACTACGCGGCTTTGAAGTGTGAGAGCCTCAAGCTTGCTGTTATCAAAAACTCCTGGCTTGCCGATCGCCTTGGAGGGAAAATATTCAGCGTCATTTTCAAGTATGAAGTGCCATGTAAATGATACAGATCTGGTCAGCTGGGTGAACAGGAGCAGCAGAATGGACTTGCACTAGTTTTACTTTAACTGTAAAGAATGTATTTTTATTACAACAGGGAAAAGAGGTCACAGGAAATTCCATATTTATATTGTGCTTTTGTGACTTAAAAAGCAACAATATGATTCACTCTATAGTATACACACTCAAATATATATATGTATATCACTCATTGTTTATTTTGGTAAGTGTTTATTTTAATGATTCAGTATTTGTGATGAAAAGACTTTATTTTTTTGTTCTGTGAGACATTCATATAGAAATATATTTAAATGTCAATGAAACCTTTTTTTATACATCTCTGCCTACTCTGCCAGCAGTGACATGGCATACCAAATAGTTTTTAAAGTGCTAAGTCAACCTGACATTGTATTTTTCCATGTCAGCTTTTAAACTTACCTAAACAATCTCATGCTCTTTGCAGTTAATTTGGTCGAGGGACTGATCCACCTCCTACTCTAACGAACTTTATGTCAGCTGCATTTAAAACAGAACTGTCACAATGTGAGAGCACACAGTAGATAACTGAACAGCACTACCACCAGTTAAAGAACTCTTAACTCCTACTGCTTCCACTGTTATTAACAAGCTGAGGGGGGGGAGAGGCAGGCTGCATCCATACTAAATTACTTAGCAGTAATCAGAAGTTTAAGTCTGCATTGCATTCAGAGTGAATCTGAACACTTTATTCGGGAACAACCAGCTGTATCCCTGTCACAGACATGTTAATTTCTGTTTCCTTCAGTTATTTAATGCTGGAACAGAGAGGAATTAGTCTCTCTGTTCATGCAGTGCAGTTAAAACCACTTCTAAGGAACTGAATTTGTGCCCTGCTCCATCAGCTGCGCAGTACGTAAATGCAGTTATTTAACCCTGAATTTGCAAAACTGCCTGTGCGTGCATCAGCCATTCCACCTCTGAAATGAAAAACAACTTAATTAGAAAACTATTTAATATGTAACCAAAGTAACCGTTCCCCATGAACTTCAAAGATTCTTCTCTGACAGCAAGAAAATAACAAAAAATGCCCGTTACTCATCCTTGCCTACTGAATTTGTACTTTAATTGACTTTGCCAGCGTTCATGTTCTACTGCTCTTGGATTTAAAGTATGAATCTTATTCCTAAATAGTTCCTAGTCAAGTTAACTAGACAAACTGTCCTCTGTAGCTAAACAAGGAAACATATCTTCTGATGGAAAACAGACTTTTCTTAAATCTAGTTCCTTAACTGTAAGGCTTCCCTTTCTCAGATTTTAGGCCTTTGTGTAGAATACAGTTAAATCCTGCATTATTGGGATGGATGCATCAGTAATGTCCTTTCTGATTCAGAAATGACTTTCACAGTGATCACTATCATTTGCCTAGAAGGAGGCAAAAATACATTCTATTTAAAATTAAAATCTTAAGAAGCAGTTATTCTTGATTAGAAGAGTCAGATAAAAGCTTTAATTTTCAAGATTGCACCTCATTCTATAATTAGTATGCAGAGGCTTCATATTAACCTATCCCAAGTCACTTATTCCTGCAGGCATTTCTGCACTTACATGGTAAACTTCTAAATTAAATATAGATGTGATCACCCATCTTAACCTCCCTTAATTTTAGCAGTTGCACTCTCCCTCTTATCAATTCAAATTCTTCCAAGCTGCTTGGTTTTGTTCTATAACCAGCTCCACCATCAATCCAGAAGTACTGTGTTTGTAATTAGGAAACTAACACTCTACTCTTGCAGAAAAATATCTTCCTACAGTGATGTAGCTCCTATGACATATAGGTGGTAGAACCACAATATATGCCCATTCCTTAAGAATTTTTGTTAAGCATTAGCCCTCCCTGAAGTCTCCTGGGTTTGTCTTGTATTTTCTTTTATACGTAGACGAGTGCACATTTCTTCTGTGAAAATGGAGCAACAAGATTTCTGGAAAAGAAGAGGGGGGAAAAAAAAAGGGGGATAAGTTTCTCTATTGTAGAATCCAGCTTTTAAATGTTCACTAGACTTTCATTGCAGTGGATGGGAGAACAAGAACACCAAAATACACATTCAAATTCTAGTGCAGTTTTATTTACGTGTTTTCCTGCTTGTCAAATGACTTGAGAATAGCCATACTTGAGAATAAACTTGTTATTGATGATTTACTGTCCTCTGTACACACGGGAGTATTGGAGTGCAGTCTGTCTGCATTACAGTAAATGCTTCTATTTAATATTCTAAGGTTTTTAAAATTTTTATATTGCTTAGGCTACATAACTGTCACATAGCCCAAGCAACAACATAGCAAGGATTTTAAAGAGTAAATACATAGCATGTACTTTCCCCATTACATTTCTTTCCTCAGACAAACAAGACTGCCATGGTCAGAAAGCCAGCATTCCGCCCAGGGGAGCACTAATGCCCACACTAAACAGAAGGGAGCCCAAGAGGAAGACAGAAATGACGACAGTCGCCCACCTTGACATGTCCAGCAGCATGTCTGCTCTTATTTGACAGCTCCACCATAGCTGCAATCACTCCTAATGCAAGGCCAATGGCAAGAGTAAGAAAGAGCCCACCCAGAGCCTGGGGCTGCAGGGGGCTCCATCTGTCTCTGCTCTGGTGAAGGCAGCTGGACTCCCACCATTTGTTACGCAAATAGTCAAGATCACCCGATTCGCGCAGTTTGAGGACAGCAACTGACAGCTTCTTAGTCCACGGGGATGCTGGCAGCAGAATGAAAGAGAAAAGCATGTAAGAGAGGTCACAGCCACTAACATTTTTAATCAGCCTGCTACTACATGACAAAGCAGGGTTAGCCGGGTGCTGCTTCCCAGCTTTCAAACGGTCTTTCTGCAGAGTGCAGCAAAATAATCTGAGTGCTTTCTTGGATAACTAGATAACAACCATTCCTATCCTATCCACTAACAGAATAATGACAGTTTGAAGTCTCTGAAAAATACTATCAGTCATGCTTACAAGAGAACAAATTTGATTAAGAGTTCTTCTGCATTCTTGGTACCACAGAGCAGGAGGAAAAAACAGGAAAAAAAAACCAAACCTGGTATCATTGGCAGCGGGAATTTTTAAAAGCTGCTGTTCAAAATAAGAGTGAGCACTAGTGATAATTCATTTACTGAATGAAAATATTGGATAACTGGTTAACAATTTGTTCATAGTGGATTATTAGTACATAGAACACTTGATACATAGAAAAAAGCCTCTGAGTTTCAGGATTTAGCTATTCCAGGCTCTTTGCTCTAACAAACTATTTCAAACCCACAAAATCCAAGTGGAGAAGTGGGACAGAAGTCATACACAGTGACTCACCCTGGGCAGTGGCAATGCCAAATCCTCTGGCTCCAATAACTTCAGGGGCTCTGATCAAATTGCAGTGCCTGGCGGCTGCAAGGTCTTGAGAGATGGATTCACCAATGAAGGCATAATTGGATTCCATCACACGTTGAACTGCTTCCTGGTAGGTTTTGACTAAAACGTGGTCTCGTCTCTTGTCCATATATTCATAGATCATCTGATGGATGGGATTCTTGGAGTTCTGCAATAAAGCAACGTGTGAAACAATTATCCAGAAAAATATTTGCCTATGTGCAGTGACTGTGAAAATATTTAGAGAATAAGAGTGCTTAAAACCATTTACCTTTCAGCCCTCCAATTAAAATTACCATCTTTCTAGCACTTTATGTTCAAGGTACACAAGAATGACCCCTGAAGACTAGTACCACTGTCTTAAGAGAGGATACACTATTAACACAAAATCTTCTGCATGCTTCTCTCTCAGAGAAAAGGTGAAAGAAGAGATAAGAAAACAACATATACCAATCACATTAAAGTACAAGAGAACTGACACAGTCTACAGAGAAGAAGGTGCTGTAAGACCCAATGTGCAGACAGCTTGACTGCACTTTAGCACTTCTTAGGCAGGCATGTACGTGCACAGTTAAATTTTCTGCACCTTAAAGAAGTAGAAAGTGGAGGAGCCATCCAGTGTCCCAAACTCAAGCTTCCTTTGCTTCACAAGATCTTCAAAAGTCTGGATCGGGAGCTGCTCGCTGCCAGAGCTCAACAGCGCGGTGAAGTTGGCGATGTAAGCAGCCAGCAAAGCTATGGTGAAGAGCCACCAGATGGCAGCGATGACCCGCACAGAGAACGCCTTGGGCCGAGGGGTGACACCTGCGAGCCCAATGGAGCCGACAGAAAGTACGGGTGGTGAGAGAGACAGCCTGAGACAAAGCCAGCACAAGACTTTTTAAACATGCCAACCTGCGAAAGCTGCTTTGCAGCTGTTTTAGGAACACACGGGCCTAAAAAGCCCTCAGTGGCTGGTTTGAATAGCATCAATGCTGCATGCTATGCAGAGCCAAAGCAATATACTGGCCAAAAAAAAAAAAAAAAAGACTGCACTGTACAAAACATAAGGGCACTGGTTAGTCCTGGAGCAAGAGTCACAGCAGAAAACACGCAGTGCTCACACGAAGCCAGCCACCTGCACAAGTCCCTAATCAAGACATCTCTGTTTTAGCACTGCCAAGAGTCCCTGTTTATCATCCTTTCCCTCAGCACCCAGCCATACAGTACAGCACTCTATATGCACTGGGCATACACAGTACATATGCACATATGTACTGGATATGCAATCAGCTCCTCCCAGCTCACCTTGCAATGTGAGCGCTCCTGCTCCAAACCAGAGGCTGTTTAAAAAGGTGAAGTGATTCTCTTCATTCTTTGGCTCATTCCATTCATAAGGGCTCAGCCTATGAGGAAATAACAGGATGACACCAGACACTAAAGGAAAAAGCAATCCTGCAGCATGATGTGCAGCAGTGCAGACAGCCTGGAAATGCCCTATCTTTCCATCAGAGGTCCTCCTTTACTTGTAGCCCAGTTTATCTAGTAGACAAAAATGCTCCTGGTCAATACCTCAAGTATTTGCAACACTGAAGGCTCAGGACTGGGCATAAAACAGGAAGAGCAGTAATAGAACTTTTGTTCAAAATTGCAAATGCAGAGAGTGTTAGTGCAGCCTCATGAAGAGAGGAGGAGAAAAGTGAATGTCCTGGGAAAGGAGGGAGGGGAAAGAAATTCATCCACAAAATTCAGTGTAGGATTGAGTGCATGAAAACACTCTGGGAGAAAGGACTGTGGCAAGGAATATGGTCAGAGGGAAAAACAACTTTGAAAAAAAAGTGAGAACAAAAAAGCTGAAACACAAACAAACAGTCCTTCTGACAACAGTGGAAAATCCACATCAAGAGATACGGTGATTTTCATTGGGAGTTCCTACTCTTAATCTGCCATTAAGCTTTATTAGCTCAGCTTCTGGATTTGTACAGAAAGTTTCTCAAAGCAAAATGTACCCTGGTACTTTCTTAAAAATAAAAATCTCTCCATAGCTGGGAAAGCAGTTGACTCGAGCAAAAACTGTAAAACACATCTGTACCTGGCAACAAGGAAGAGGCAGACACACGTCAGCACATAAGCAAATAGGAGGCCAGTCCAGGTCTCCTTACTGAAAGGAGCCAGGAAGTGGAAGAAAGACATCTCCTGAGAGATGGTGTCCTTTCGAAGCAAGATTCCAATCCCAGTCTGCAGGAATGGTGTAGTGAAGGAGATTACCTCTTCCCTTGCTGATGTGACTGTCAAGGGAGCCACTGCTATGTCTGCTTCCTGTAAGAAGTAGTTAAAATATAACCAACCGTCCAACCTGCCTGAAGTCTTGTATCACTAAAACAGAATGCTTCCCAGGCTGAGTGGACAGATACCTACGTGGCCAATAGCCATGTAGGCACAGCTCCTGGGCTCCTTTCCTTGTTAATGCTGCAGTTTCTCAAATATAAAATGAAAGTTACCTGTCTCAGAATCTCTCCAATCATTCCTGTCCAGTTCCCATTGGAAGAGATGGCTCCATACTTCCCATCTCCCACCACCTTCACCTTATAGCTGAAGTGAAGCATTGAAGCGAGTGCTTTCAGCAAATCAATGCAGTATCCCTCCAGTTCTGCACTTCTCACCATGACATAAGGATCTTCCTGCATAAACAGGGAAATACAATTACATGCCACCACAGTCTGCACTGTGACTGGCTGTGAATTAACTCCAGCTATCTCCCAGCTACAGGGTTTTGTTACTGCCTTACCAAGATCGTTGTGACAGTCAAAGCTGGAAGGTTCTCTTCTGGTCCCCTCAAGTCATTGGCCTACAAATAAAAAAATAAAGGAAAAATAATTGAATTTCCCTGCTTACCGAGGGTTTATGTTATAATGTGTGCGTGTTCCATGACAGTAATTAATCAAAAGCATTACACTTTATGGCATGTTGTCAACATACAAATAAAAAAGAAAATCACGTTAAATGCTGTCACAATTCTTCAGGTACAAAGTGCATATAGTCTTCCAAAGAGAGATCAATTTGTGCTGCTGACAAAACAGCTAGCAGCCAATTAAGGCCTCATTAGAGAGCAATTCCTGGAGACAAAACAGCAGGAAACCTGAGATGAAGCAAAAACATGAATTCACTTTCACATGAAACACCAAATTCAAGAATGCATCTTCCTACCTTACAGTCCGAAGATGCTTTCTGGTCACCAATACTTCAGAACAGTTCATGTTTTTGCTACTAAAGCTGTCTTCACAGATTAAACACATTGCAGGCTGTGAACTCATCTATTTCTGGATTTAATATCCAAGAGCTTTTGTACATATGACTTTATTGGTAACCCTGCATCAATGAACTTCAACATACCTTAATCATAGCATCATCATTCCTCATTGCTCCTGAAAAAATAACAACAAAATCAACTCCTTGCAGGGTTTATGCTTACAGTTCCTTAAAAGCGAACTTTCATAAACTCATTTCACTTACATAAACACAATGATCATCCTTGGACTCAGAAGTTCACAGTACAGCTGACTTGTAGTAACTTTGTAAGATTGTTTCCTTATTCACAACACAGTATTAATGCCAAGCAAAAAGAGGCAGAAACATACACAGACTGATTCAGGCTGCAGAAGTTTCTAATTCTACCTCTATTATTATTATCACTCACACATTGAAAAACAGATTTTGCAGAATCGCCCTTCCTGATGAGTTGAAAAGCCAGCAGTCCTGCTGCTTCACACGACTCAGATTTCCACTCCCCCCCCCCCCCCCCTCCCAGCTCCTGCCAAAGCCCGTCTGCACCCCTAAGGAAAAGCCCTGTAAACAACCTGAAGTTCATCAGCATTGAATTCCAAGACAAAAGGGTTTCTTGATAGGTTCCTATTGTTAAAAGCAGACAAAGGAGACCATCTCGCAACCTTTGGAGCAGAAATCCTTCTCTTCCTCATTCAATTGCTTTCTCCCCGAGAATTACAGCTGCTCTGACTTTCCATTCCTGTGAAAATTCACTGCAGAACACCTGAGTGTCACCAGATCTGCTACTGATCTGCTGTTCCGTATTACCTCTCCTCCTTCTGTCTGTTTCCTCTTCAGTAAAAATCCACTCGTAAAAGTATTATTAATGAGATTAATTAAGCTTTTGGCTCTACTCTTTGCTCCGATGTGCAGCTCTTAACAAAATCTGTTGAATTATTTGATCCACAGCTTCCTTTATCATAACACCCAGAATACCTCAACTCCCCAAATCTGCAAGAGATATAAACTGTAATAATTGAGATGCAGAATGAAAAGCACAACTTTGTGGATGTATAGCATATTAACTACCCAGGATAGTTCCTTTTTTTTCCTAGAGTGTGCAACATTATTGCTCCCTGGAATCAAAGAATTCACAGCGCAAAAGCCAAAACTAAATAATAATTAAAAAAAAAAAAAAAAAAGAAAAAGATAAAACAAAGAAATTAGAGTGCTTTTACTCTTCCAAGCAAAACTGTGAGTTTCTCATTAAATATAACAACGTATTCACTCATTATGTATTATTCATTCTTTGGATTTGCATTTTCTTGTGCTGAACTCCACATTATTGTTAAAACAAAACCTGCTTTTTCCCTGTCCTCCACAGTTCTCCATGGGAGCTGGAAATCTTCACAAAGGAGTTCTCTTGTCTCTCTTCAGAAACTCATTAGAGCCAGTGAAAGCTGTTTGAGGCTCCTTTTTTGAAGACCTGCTAGGGTTTTTTGGAAGAAAACAGTCTGTACCGAGGGCTTCAGCTCCCCCACAGTGGCTCTGGATGCAGCTGTTCAAAGCCCCATTGTAGGAACTGCTGAAAGGACCATAAGAAATCGAGTTGCAGCCCTAATTCTAAGTTCATCAGAGTGACACTTCTCAGGGGCCAAGCCCTCCGTGTGAGAATTTACAACAGCACACCACAAAGGGTCTCATCCCTCCACTCTTGCCCCCAAAGGTTTGCTGCTGCAGGAAACCACCGTGGTTGCAAAAATCAGCAACCACAGCAAAAACAAAAAGCATTTAGCACAGATAAACCAGGACTGGCCTCCTCACCCCCACTTTTCTACTCTGTGCCCCCTCTGCCTAGGTTAGCAACCCTGCCTTGGTACCCTCTGTCCACATTTCCCTTTATGCAGCTTGTGACTATGAGGGATAGCTGAACCAAGAGGTCAGATGGATGACGGTTCTGGAGTACACTGGGACACTCAGGATAAGAGTATCAGAGAAACTGACCACTGTCACTAAAGCTAAAGACTGATGTATACGGAACCTGAAGCAACCTGCTGCTACCACCAGCTCTGGTCAGGTAGGGGACAGGCAGGTGAGAGGGGCAGGAGAACCAGTAGAGGAGCCAATTTTTGTTTCCTAGTAATGCTGCAAGGCCAAGCTACTCCTTATGTCTCCCACTGAGACATAGAACACCAAAAAGCCACAGTAAGATTAAAACAGCAGGATTTGTTCCAGCTGCAAAAGCAAGTGCCCCAGCTCCTAGCTCTGGGGATGCAGCGCGATCCAACCAGCTGACTGCTGTGCATAAGTCACTGGCAGGCTCCTGCTGGCCCTAAGGTAGGTCCTGGCAATGTCTTCATAACCAAATCTCAAGCAAGTTTTAAAGACAGTGTCCTAATCTAGCGCTACTATTAACAAGAATTAAAGAAATGTGAAGAAAAAAAAAACAGGTTTGAATGCAGCTAGCTTTTTTGGCCAAATATTCTCACCTGTCTGGCTTGATTCTCTCAGGAGCAGCACAGCTGTAACCACACTGAACATAAAGTGAAGTCCTTTGTCCATTGCAGCAGAAATAGCTACTGTTTAGAGAAAACTTCCTGTTGAAGTTAAAGGAAAATCATTAATAGTGGTTTTATGATTCCTCAGTGCTGAGTTAAATCAGTACATCTTGGATTTTCTGCATCTCAATTCTGAAGAGCTCCAATTCAAACAAGGTCACATCTGAGACCAAATAGAACAAACATTAAAGAACAGGTCCCAGGGAACACTTTAGTGCAGAAAAATGATGTGATGAACACACAAAGTGGATGTATCCACTGCCTGTTGCACTGTATCTTTCCCAGCCAGCTCCCTACAGAGGAGAGGCAATGTCTCCTCGGGTGCAGGGTCAGGGTGCAGGCATCGATAAACAGGAGATTTTTCAGGAGGTCCTTATTTCAGAGACATAAAAGCAGAATGTTAAATTTCCCTTTTTTGGGTTGCAGAGGAAAAAAGAAGCAGGAATGATGCACTTGAGCCAGCAAGGAACAGCTGTTCTGTTTTGTTTTCTGGTAAATTTAACCAGTAAATTATTGCTACTTTTTCATTATGATTGAGTATGTAACTATGAAATGATCTTTACAAAGATTAAAAAAAAAAAAACAAAAAAAAAAACAAGCTATTCTGAGCTGGTAATAAAAATGAAAGAGTTGTTATCACACTGGCTGTCTTAAAAAAAAAAAAAAAAAAGCATACATTTGTGCAAAATGAGCATTTTTGCAAAGGTAAATGTACTTCCTTAACTCTGTGTTGGTACCAAGATAATTTAAGGATAAATGGAATCACCTACAGGGAGAATAATGGGAGGACAGATGACTTCAGTGCCTTCCAACCTGTAAGGATCTGCTCAGCTGCTGCTTAAATGAACCACTGCAACACCCCTTCACCACCTACTTAACAAAGTACCACAACATTTTCTCAAGTTTTACAGCAAAACAAAGTAAGGATTTATGATGTTACTTCGCTAGAATTGGCTCTAGAAATTTCTGAGTCTTTCAAAATATGAAGAAAAAAGGACATTACCCCTCAGCCACTCTTCTGCACACAGTGCCAAAGGGAGGCATTAGAATTAAACCGAGCAGTAGAAAAGATGAACAGCCATCAGCAAAAAAGGTGACAGCCTGTTGCACACGACCTTCAATCTTTGCCAGCTAGAAGCACAGCAGTGATTGAAGGCAGCATCTCACTTACAGCAATTCCTTCAGCCTCTCCTAGCTTGGTCTGTCTGACTGGGTCCCAGCAGCAGCACGTCGATGGGCAGGCAAATGAAGTGCTGGAGCAGAACGCTGGCTGCATCCACGCCGTTATAAGGAGAGCGGGAGGAGCCAGGCGCGGGGCTGCTGCGGAAGGACGTGCCAGCAGGCAGCGCAGGCTGCGGAGCACCTTGCATTGGGACAGAGGAAGGGAGCACCCAGCACAAGAAGTTTGGAAGCAGGTCATTCCGGCGGCTCGATACTACACTGAGACTCGGAAAGTACAAATACCTCTGCCTGGCCTGCAGTGCGGTCCTGTAAAAGCCTTCCTTCTGCAGAACCTTGCCCTGTTCAGCTGTGCCCACCTCCCCTGTCTACTCCTGCTGCTAGCTGAAGGCTTTCTCTGTGCTGTGATTCTCAGATCAGTTGGGAGATTCAGGTACAACATCAGAACCCTCACAAACCAGTTACATACAGTAGTATTTCCTCACATCCCAGAATGCTGAAGAAAGGTCTGAGCTTCAAGATAAACCACAAACTCTGGGTTGTACAGAACTGTGTACACAGACATGAAATTCCTGACCCCTTCATCCTTCCACTTAGAATCTCCACTTCAGAAGTGAGCTACATACAACCCTGCCAAACGGCTGACTCTATTGGGCCAGGTCATTTATAAATGCAGCATCAAGGCTCTGAAATTACAAAGGATTGCTTTCACAGGAATTCAGCAGAGTAAATCATTACAGCACATCCTGCAGGGGAGTTGGAACATGTCCACACTTGAGTAAGAAAAGAATTATTTCACACTTACTTGACTTGAAGCTCTGTCCATGATGGAAACGTCTCGGGCAGCTTGCACCTTCCTCCCTAAGCCCTTTCTATACATGCCACTGAGTTCATCAATCACTAAATGTCAACTGGTCTTCAACAGTCAGAATTTGCTTACGTTTCAATTTTTGAAATGCTTATAATAACGTACTTGGTGATGCCAAAGTGGAAGGGTGGGACTCACAGTGCACTGCAGTGCAGGGGAGCTCCAAGATTACTTTTACTAAACTTCAGGCCAGATGGTGCACATCATTCTTACAATATGGATTATGGCAAGGTGCTACACTATCAATGATAAGCACATTCTTTCTATAGGACAAAACCAAAAAGATACCAGCAGATCAGCTTGGATTTCTCTCAGATGCTCTGAACTGCTTACAGCTCCACTTCAGGTACTAGCTTTGTTAATTAGCACATGATTAATTTTTCACTTTATGTGATAGCCACACTCTGGAGACTCCGGCAAAGCCTTGCACTTAGAGAGAGGTTAACAAAAATCAGACAATTTAAGGTTCTCAGCTGCTTCTCATGAATACTCTTCTAGGCTTTAGCAAGATGCACATTATGGTATGTGATTTTTCACAGCTGGCAGCTAATGATGGCTAAGCCACTAATAAGCTCAGCTACAAGCAGCTGTAAACATCTCAGCACTGTCAAAATGAGTTTTTACAGATACAATCAAATGTTCATCATCAGTGATCTTCAACACCAAGCTGGAGGAATACAGACCATAAACACCAAGGACAACCATGCACTGTCTGGACTCCTAAACTGACACTTTAATGAACTGAAAAACATTTGGGACAAGTCCATGACCTCACAGGGAGAACTCAGGATGATGGAAGATGGCTGCTGTTACTCTACATGCCAGCAGGAACAGATACAAAATGGGCCTTCCCTAGACAGAGCTACGATCATTACTGTTGCCTACAAAGCAAGATTATGAGGACCAAATACATCGGCATTAAAAACCCATTAAAAAGAGCTGTGTGCTTGTTATGCACACTTCACTGAATTCTTACCTGCAGCTTTGGATGAGATAGAGCCAAGCAAATGTTTTCACACATTAGTTGAAGCTCCCTATATATGCTGCCTTTCTCTCTGAAATCTCTTTCGCCAGCTTGATTTTGAGATCTCCACTACTGCTCCGGTTCGCGTAGGAAAAAAAAACAAACAGAATCTAAGTTTTGCTTAATGCTTTCGAGTTTGTTGTTGTTGTTGTGGGGGGGGGGGGGGGGAAGGGAGCAAGACAAGAAAAGCCCTCTCCCAAACCTAAAAGATACTTAAAAACCTAACTGTGATACCAGAGTCAGCACCAATCTTTTCCCTCTGTTAATCAAACACTAAAAATTGGAAATAGAATACATTGATTGGTTAGATTATTACTTGTAATTATTCTTCAGAGCAAAATTACTCTGAAGCAGAAAGGATGAAGAACAAAAGTAAATTGCTGCTGCTCAGCAGTGTAGGTACCACAAAATAAATTCCATTCATATGAATACACAACACATCATTAATAGTCCTGTGCAGTGCAACAGAACAAGTTGGCAAGGCAGTTACCACTGATCTGCAAACAGGAGGACAAAATTCACATGTACCCTAGTAAGTTAAACCCAATTGCTGCTTTTTAAAAGTGTGAAAAAGATATTTTGAAGTGTTGCAAGGTGCATTAATTTAACAAGTATTGCTTAATCAATGAAAGATAAAAAAGCATTGTGGATTTGTCTTTGAAAAGAAAGAGGCCTTTCACACATTAACCTTCTGAAGCTGTCAATTTGCATCTACTTTCTTGCTTTAAAGATAAAAAAAGCAGCAACTCCCTGCAGCTCTTTGGCCCATAACTGAAGTATTACAGGCTTTCTTGTCTAAAGAATGTTAATGAAATTCACTTTGTTTTATGATACAGAGCAGGACTGATCTTGGCAGATCATACATTCTGCTGATGATTTACCTTTTTTTTTTTTCCTTCAGAGACTGCAAAGATATTGTAGATTTACTTCAGTGCACATTCCAAAACTTTGTTGCACAAACCTCAAGGGCCTCTCATCCAAATTACGAAGACAAGTAATGAAGATCAGAGCTAGGATGGAAAACTGCAGGAGCGTGTTCAGACACAGCATCATTTTAAAATATTTCATCAGAGAATTTTACTCCTCCCAGCCCCCACATCCTTGTTATGCTGAAATCATCACCCATAGTTAGCTGTACCTTTTGATATCTCAGGGCTGAAATGTTTGTGACCAAATGCCAAGAACTCCCTTCTAGCCTCACATCCATAAGTGAACTGAGGAGCCTTCCAGGTAAGGGAATGAACAAAGCAATGCACATTTTCACTGTGCACTTTGCTGGGACAGGAAGAGATTTCTTGCATAAGTACTTTCAGTCAAATTTTAAACAACCTCAGTGATGAAATAGGTCTATCTACCTTACATGAGAAAATTAGTTTCTCTTTGTGTTGTTCTCTATGACATTCACTTCCTTGGCTGTCTCAGAATAGATCAGGTCCTTTGACAGCATGTGTTGGGCTACAAATTCCGTGACTCCCCCAAGGATTTTCATCCAAACAGTCACTGCTGGCTGCCAACACAAGTTCAAAATCATCCACATGCTGTGTATCACACGTCTGAATGCCAGTGTCTACCAATACTTGCACGTGTTTTGGTGCACCAGAGAAAATTTGAGCAGGATCTGAACTGGATATCATTCTGAAAAGAGTAAAATGAAATGTTATAACAGCATTAAAAAGTGTTATGTTACAGCTAAACAGTCAACAGCTGGAAGATTAAATATGTTTATTTTAGTAGAACAAGGTGGTCTTACAAACAAATTTTTAGATTTTGCAATATACACAGAAGAATCATTACAAACAAAAGCAAAATATTTTCTCAATAATAGGGACCCTATGCAGCTTGAAAATAAAATTAAACCTCTGTTTCTCTTTAAAATGCATCTCAGTAAACAATCTTCTCCATCACTGATAAAATACATCTATAATAAATGACTTTGGAGGGGGGAGATGGGATGGAGGAAAAAAAAAACATTTTAAAAAATGGGGAGGAGAAATGGTTATTCTGTTTAGCTTGCTATATAACTCTAAATATGTTCATCTAAAAAAATTAAATATATATATTTTAAAACATATCATTGAAAATTTTGCATGGCAGTGCAATACAGAAGTAGTAAAATTCATCCAAAAAAGTGCTATGTACAGCAGCATTGTTAAAATACCATAAAGAAGGGATGGTTCTGTTTTCAAGAAAAGATCAGTGTGCTTTTTAGTCATTTCTGAATCAGTGTCAGAAGATGTTTCCTGCCTTTTTTGACTAATTCTCCCTTCTCATCTCATTCCCACAGATGATGTTTTGAGACAAGAAACAGTCACAGTTCAGTCTAAGTGTGTGCATGTGTACACATACAAGCAGACACACACCTGCATACACACAGAGGCATACATATATACTTTTATATATATATATATAAAAACAAGTTTGGTTTAAAAAAAAAAAAAGCATTCCTTTGGAACATGGCAACAGATTTTCTTTCTTCAAAGAGTGCGACAATACGGATTTTCATTGAAATAAGACTTTATCTACTATATTATTAATTAAGGAAAGAATTCCACTGCAATTTTGACCGTTTCCCAGATGCCTCCAGCTCTTCATGAGAATACCAAAACAAGCTATGTGATTTCAAATCCAGCCTCCTTTCACAGATACATAATTCATAAGAGTAACATTAGCTGTTGCTAGCATCACTGATGTTTAACTGCTAGACAAAGCAATTAATGAAAGTAATAAGGAGCAAAAGTTTTGCACAGAGCAAGTTGCAAGTGCAAAGAAGTGGTCACACCACAAAGGAGGCCAGATTTGAGGCTGGAAAAAACGTAATAAAAAAAGGAGGTCAGGTCATTAAGACTGTAAAAATATGTCTCTGATTTCACTTGGTTGATCGAATTCCACAGACGGGTGACAAGTCGAACACTCATCTATTCTTTTGGAGTCAGGATCTTAAGTGCCTTTGCCATCTAGGGAAGGCCAGGAAGCACTAAGCCATACAAGGATATTTTGTGCCTCTCAGGTCACTATGTTTTGTCTTGAATGTAAACATCACCTTACTCAGTGCCCTCTAGAATTACAGTTTCAGCATAAAGAAGACTTCTGTGTCAGTATTATAATCAGTTTGGTTCTTAGGCTGGGATGTAAACACAGCAGGAGAAGCTATATCCATACAGACTGCTTTTGCAACGCTGCAGGCTCCCTCTGGATTTCCTCTCTCTTCAATGGGACTCCCACTGAGCTGGCCCAGGCTTTGCAGTCGCTGTCTCTCCTGAGCTTGCTTGGCCCTGTTGGCAATGTACCGCACCCTGCTCTGACTGCGAGATGATGACCTGCGAAGGAGTCCTAAGCTCTCCGCTTCCTCTTCAGATTCGGTTGGATCAAGACTGATGGGGGAAGTGATATCATTTTCCTGCTGAAAGGCTGTTAGCTTCTTCAGCTGCTCAGTCAATTCATCCTGGGGTCTGACAGAGGTTCTCAGGCCTGCAGAGCGGCGCTGCTCACGCATTGATCGAGTGACAAAACTCCTGCTGATGCTACGATATTTGCTTTCAAAAGTGCACACAATGTCATCAGAGGTAAGGTCTCCAAGACTCTTGGATTTCACCTGGTTATTCCCAACCTTATCCTGTGCTTTGGATTTGTTAGAAGATTGCCTGAGACTTTCTATGTACAGCCTGCTCCAGGTATGTCTCCTAGGAATGGATGAGAATGCATCCTGAGGACTCCTTGCAAGAGGACGGGGGCATAATTCATCCGCTGGCAGCTGGTCAGACCTCAGGTTAGGATTGGATTTACTCTTGCTCACTATTGGCATTTCATTACCTGACGTTGTAGCAGACCGTGGGCGAATACCCCTTCTCATGGTAAGGGGCTCAAAGTTCTCATGCCGGATGCCAAGATCTGGAAGGCTTTTGCGAGCTAGATTAGGTAGAGAGAGATCTATCACAGTGTCATTGGAGGACATGCTGGAAGAGGAAGACATGCTGTCACGATGATTGCTGCAATCTAGCTTGCTCCAGATCCGGTCATTAACAGTAGCATCAAAGTATACCTCTGCTGCTGGAGATAGGCTACTTGGATTTTTTACTAAAGCTGAGGAGTCTGACTTTTTCAGCCCTTCACTCTTTGACTTCCTTATTAACATGTAAGAGCTCGTCTGAGAAACAGGTAGAGCCTGTGAAGCCTGGGCTTTCTGGAAAATATCTGGAGACAAATTTGGATGTGAGCCATTAATCACATTGTTTTGCTGCAGGACAGCTGCTGCACCAGGCTTTTGGCTTTTCAATACAGCAGCGGTTTTCAAGTCTTTCAATACCTGCCCTGTTTGGTCTTTCTGCTTCTGGCAGTTTTCAACAGGCTGGCCAGCACTCTGAGCTTCTGCCACCACCAGCCAGGCTTTCTGAGGATGCGCTGCCAAATTAACTTGATCTTCAGCTTCACTGCATGCCTGTGTCCAACCATTTTCTTCTTTGAGAAGTCCTGCCATGCTTATCCTCTCATCATCTTGGACTAATGCATTGATGTCAGCTGCTTTTGTGGCTGTCTGCATCTGGTCTTCTGCAGCCAAATTTGGTCTTTGTTCTCTAGTGAGCAGAGGTTCTGGAGGCCGGTTCGATGGGTTGCTCCCTTTTGTTTGAGATTCACTGGAATGATCAGACACAGATCCTTCTTCAGAATCACTGTAAGGAGTAATGGGTAGAGGAAAGAAGAGGCTGGCATGATGGCTTTCATTTGCAATAACAGGCTCTTCAGTGATGGTTTCTAGGCTGCATAAAGAAGTGACTGACCTCTGCATCGAGAAATGGCAGACATCTACTTGGAAACATGAAAGAAGAAAAAGAAACAAACAAGAAAAACAGAGATATTGGGTTAATTAGCTATTATGAACTCCAGTTTAAACTGCAGATTTATCCTTTATATGGCATCCTTTTGCTTTTAAGGTAGGAACTGCATATATTAATAATGGTGTTTTTTTAAATAACTGATGATTTCAAATGCCTAGCAAAGGCAGCAACATTTTTGGTTCTTTCTGTTCGAGCTGCCCAAAAAAGCAGTTGCTTCTGAAAAAACCCAGTCCACACATGCTAGGAACATAGCATTTTTCTGATTGTCTTAATCAAAGAACAACTGTATCCATCCGTTTCTTTGTGTCTTTGGATCCTCTATTAGAATCTAACTTCTTCCTCCACCATTCAGCACCAGCTGCATTGCTCTTTTCCTTCTTTCCAGCACTCAAACATGACAGTATGTCAGACCATAATCAGATAGTGTATAATCATCAGAACACCTTCAGTAACCAATAGATGTGATCTTAATTATCAGTTAGTCAAAGAAGAGAAACATCATAGGACTTCTGGAGCAGTTTACAAAGTAAAACAATGTGAATACATTCTATGTAATGTAGTCAATGTGCTTTTAAAAGACAAAACAAAAAAAGCTTTAAAAAGTAACTTTGTTTTCCTAAGAGTCTGCCATTTCTTCTTCATAAGACAATACAGAGATGCATGCTTCATGAATACCAGGTTCACAATACAATCCTAAAGAATCACTACATCCACTGTACTACCTGAAAAAAAAAAAAAAACAGCACTCCATCTGCAATGTTCCTATTCTGTACCCTAAGAACTGGAGCATTCATGCCAAAAACACTACTTCCCATGTCTCCAAAGCACAAGGCAAACATGCTTCAAAACAAAAAACAAACAGAAGTACAGGCAACAAGGTGCTTCAATCAGTGACACTCACTCGACAGTTACCTTTAACTTGCTTGTCCTTTCAGTTCTTAACTAGAGAGGGAGAGTGTGCATGTAGAATAATAGGACAGAACAGAGGAAAAATCCAGTTAATGTAGGGAAGGCAGGTGCAGGTAACAGGACAAATTAGTGCTGAGGGAGGGAAGGGAGACAGACAAATCTTCAAACATTTTTGTAGGATTCTAAGAATTTCTGACCAACCAGAGCATTTAATAGAATCCATAAATGGACAGATATTAAATCCGCTGTTTTGCTTCAGAATAATATAAGACAATTTTTGCTACTGTTCAAGAAAAGAAACAGAAATGTAATATGAATTTGTTGACGCTAGTCATAAAGAAAGCATCTGGATTGTTGAAGGCTTACGTGCACATAAGCCCATCCACCACTCACAGAACAGCCAAATTTTCAAAATCTGGAGGAGTCCAGAGCTGGCCACACCAGTGAGCTCTTCCTCTCCCCATGCAGGCCAGGTCACCTGAACAGATTACAGCACACTCACAAAGCAAAATACCAGAAACTGTAATGCAGTTGCCATAAAGGAGACAAACCAGAGACTATACCTTCCTGTCTCACTGTTGCTGCACATCCCATCACCAGAATGTTAATTATGAAATACAGCCATATTAGGCTGATGTTATTGGTTTCCTTGGTGCCTTGGCCCAAGGCACTAAAATAGCAGGAGGATGGGGAAAGCATGCTGTTTGCACAGTGTTTGTCACTGGACCATTGGCATTCAGTCCGAGTGACTATTTCACCATTTTAAAGGTTTGCTGGTTCCATGCTTGAGAAGTCAGATGGATTTAATCAAATTTCAAGCGTATCACAATATTTATTTAGTGACTTAAGGGGCTAGCAGGGGAGCTGGCACTGATAATGGGAAACGGTTCCTTATGTCACACTACTCAGAGCTTATGAAAAGCCCAATGCCAATAATTTAGGCATAGGAAGGGTTCTGCTGCCCTGGATTAACTTCAAGTCACAGGAATTGGCAAAGTTCTTTCTCTCCTTCCCACTACCCTGGTATCCTCCTAAAAGCTCAAAGCAGATAAAAAGAGTCAAAAAAAGAGAGAGAAAGAGCAACTGTAGATGCCCAATTAAATCATATTGGTCAAAGAAATAAAATATTTTAAATATCTATCTGAGGCTTTCAGAGCTCATTGTAAGAGAACAGCCAGAATCTGTTACTAAAAGAAGGACTCTGTCACAAACATACAGTTTGTGAGTAAAGATACGGTGACACCATCCCAGTGACCACATGCATATGCCTGGCTTGAAACAACTATATAATAAAATGCTGTAGCTTAAATAACCTTCCTTTAAATGGATGAATTTTACATTGCAGTAGAGAAATGTTAACAGTCGGCATTGCTTGGCTCACGTCAAGTAACATCAGATCACATACCTCATCTGCTTTGTATTATGTAACTGGGCCCTCAGGTCACAGTCAAATTATATATGTAACATTAAGCACGTCTAGAAATGCTTGCTTACTGGGGACTTGTATCTATAGGACCAGAGTGACACAGACTAGAGAATTCCCTGAACTGATGTCAGCAATTTACACAATAAACTGCAAGTTCTCTGAGGAAGGAATTTTGTTTGATTGTTTAAAAAAAAAAAAAAAAAAAAAGCACATTAGATATCAGTTCTGTTGTGGTTTTTGCTCAGTAAAACACAAATGCTGATGACGGAAATAACATTTGTTAAAACAGATTCCCTATATTCAATCTCTACTTAATGCTCTGGTTTGGATCTTAAAATTTGCTTAGTATCATACCACATTCACTGAAAAAAAAAGAAAAAAAAAGAAAAACGGGAAACAAAAAGCCCTGAACAAGCAATCCAAACATTCATGGACTACTGACAGCTTTTACTACTGCAGATGGACAACTAGGCGTGGGAAGGACTAGTCTAAACCAAGCACATCTAATGAAAAAAAAATAAAATAAAAATATTTATGCTTTTTTTTTTCTGTAATTGCTAAAAATAATAATAAAAAAAAGAGCTCTTGATAGCAGAACAGCACACGGGAGCTTCAAGGTAAAGATGCTATGCAGAAGCTGAGACAATGATGTGATCTAAGGTGGAGAAGGGTGAAGAAAATCTGGTCTTACCAGTAAAGAATATAGGGGATTTACTTCGAATTTCCTCCAATTTTTGAACGAATAAGGCATTCATTTCCCTCTGTAGGGTGCCCACTTGCCTTCGAGAAGTTTCAGAACAGCGCTTGGGAAATTCTGGGCTTCCAAGGCTTTCTAGACTGCTGGAGTTGGAGGATATAGAGCCATTGCTGGCTGCAACCAAGTTGATAGTGCTTCCATACTTGCCACCTGATTGGCACTGCCACCGCTGCCGGGAATGAGCCTTTATTCCATGACATTTAGATTCAACATTTTTCTTCCCTGAGGTCATGAAAGACTGGGTGCTCCTTGTTAGATCATCGGCATTTCCAGGGCTACTGCAAGACTGCAAATCTGACTGTGGTCTGGACTGAGCTTTAACACCCCAGTTTTCAAGCTCTAACCTCTCTTCTCCACTTATACTGTTATACTGATCACGGTGAAGCAAATCTTTAGCAATAGGCCTGGTAGGTTGGTCACTCCACTTGCTTTCTAGATCTGGGCTTTCTTTGGAACCAATCATGCATTTCATGCAGTTGGTGGCCACTCCAATCCTACCAGAGCTGTTGATGGCGCAGCGTGCAAAAACACTTTGCTTCTCACTCTGGTGCTCCCGGAGCCGGACCCTGTTAGACCTCTGTATGGGTTCACTGAAAGCAGCACCCCCTTGAGCACCACTCTGACTTTTGGCTTTATGAGAACTCTGGGCCTTACCTTTCAACCCTTTGCCTTGTACCTCCCCACTGGCACCATCCCTGGGAGCTGGTGACAGAGAAGCACTTTCTGACTCTTGCGCAAAGCAAGGCTGTGAGGCAGCTTCTGCTTCGTGGTCTTCACTGGCCCCTTCAGAGCTGTTGTCTTTTGTGTCAAAAACAATTTCAGGAAAGCCCTTCTTCTTCTTCTGGCTTTTGGTGGGTGCACTTGCTGTCCGTCTCAAGATGTGGCTGCTAAAGGAATGTTTGCGATGGAGCTGACCAGCAGCATGACTGTCCAGGGAGGCCTGCTTTGGATTTCTGAGAAATAGGCCTTTTAGGCCCAGAGCTTGTTTGACCTGGAAAATTAAGAAAAAAAAAGTCCTTAACAGAAAATGGAAAGCTCTTCCTTTGGGCCCAGGAACTCAAGTTCAACGATCAAGTGACAAAATGATTCTATGATTCTATACTCGTGCACTGCACACACATGCACTTACACACAGAATATTCTGGTGTATTTCTGACATCAGCATATAAACTAAATCAAAACAGGGACAGGAAATAAAAACGTGAAAAATCAGCAGCAACTGTTTTGCACAATTTCACTTTTTGTGTGTGTGTTTACATAACATTTTCCAGCCAGGCTTATCTCTGTATTTGTCATCAATTTCTTATTAATTTATAGCTCCTTACGCATTCAAATTTGAAGCGTGTGTGTAAATAATCCCAAGGAATTAGTACAACAGAGGAATTAGGACATCCTAGTTCTTACACTGTGAACTCATGTTCTAACAAACTGCTCTATCAGAAAATACTAAACAACACTCAGGCTTCTATATCACAGTGTAATTAAAATAAAGCTACAAACACCACTAGTTGATGTTATCCTCAAGTGCCATTACCAGCTTTGGGGCTTTGCTGAAGTTAAGACCTGCTGGCAAACAGAGTACTTAAAAAAAATATCTGAGCATGTTTTTCAATAAAAAAAAAAATCCACCTGCAAATTCATGTAGCTAAATATGTTAGGATAAGGCCAATCAGAATTGTTGAAGAATTAAATTAAATTTGAAACACAGTGCTGAATTCTTCAGCTTATATAGAACATCATATTTGTGCAAAACTGCACATTAGATGCTGACTAGTCTAATCTTTCCTGTCTCCTAAACTGGGAATGGTAACTACCACTCATATTTCAGACAAGAAATTTGCAGCATGCACCAGAGGTTCCAGCAGGAATAAAGCAGAATGTTCTGAGAAAACGAGAGGAAGAAACTAAAAAAAAGAAACAAAAAAAATCAAACAAACGTCACACAAAACAAGCTGTAGAAATGGTGGCAATTTCAAAAGATATTTTAAAATCATCTTAACTTTACTTCTCATGCAATATCAGATGATTACAGAATTTAAATGATAGTGACATATTCAGCTAAGCATTATTTTTCTCTTATTATGTTATAGATCATGACAAATTTGATGCCAAAATCTTTACATCTTTGCATCTTTTGTAGCTGTCAGGAAATACACAGTGGACATAAGAACATCATATATTGTTTTTCAGTATAAACAATACTGATTCCTCACTTAAGCAATATCACAAGGAACTGAACTACATGTTTGACATGTGATCTTCAAAATGTTTCTCTTTCTACCTGTGCGATTACATTATGATCATTTCCTACCATACAATACATCCAAAGACACTCATGTATGTTTTCATCACTGAAGAAACACATCATAAACAGATGAAGTTAGTCACGTTCAAAATAGAGTACTTCATATACTTCAGTACTTAAGTATGAAATACAGAAGCACTGTCAAAGATTTCCCCACCATCATACAGTGATTCACATTTCAGTGAAACTAAAAGAATTTCAGCATTCCTGTAAACATTCCAGGTGTACTTGCCAACTTTTAAAGCTGATGTATGATAAAGAGTAGATTGGTCTTGATCCATGCATAGAGCCTCTTACAAGTAAAGCAGAGAAAGAAGCATGACCCTTCTAATCCGCTTCTCCTTTGTTGCTTTTATTTTCCAGTTAGATTAGGCTCTCTTTATAGCAGTAGTTCACTTCCTTAAGCATAAAGAATGAATAAAAATATAGTACAGAAGCTTATAACTGAAAAGCATTGTAAGAAACCCATGGTAAATTTGATTGGCATTTATGCAGTTTACTTATCACATGCCAAAATCCACTGTGAGAAAGAGATAGCTAAAAAGCAACCTAGAATGGACTTCACAAATATACAGAGAGTAAGATAAAGAAGGCAGGGATTGTCTCTTTCCTATTTGTGGACAGAAGCAGTGCCAATAATACCCAGCAAAGAAAATGTAATTGAAATATTAATAAGCATCCTGTGAGAGCCAGGCTATTTAACAGTCTGCTTGGATCAAAGTAGACTCAGCTTCCTCTAGGAAGCTTCAAAATGAGATTCTGCATTTGTTAAGCAGTGAGGAGAAAAATGTTCCGCTCCAATTGGTGAAAGTTGGCAAGTGCACAAATTTATTGCTATAAAAGTCATACAATATAAATATTTGCAAAGTTAGGGAAAAAATGACACACACATATACATATAATTAAAAACAAAAAAAGAAAAGCAGTAATGGAATGGGTGACAAGCAATGCAGGGCCCCAGGTATCATTCCTGATCATTTGGTGCATCTTTGTAAAGATCAAACTATTGCTTGAATCGATTGACTGATTCAAGAATGCAGAGATAAATTTGGTTAACTTAAAAAAATAATTCTAAAAAAAAGGTGAAAAAGAGGCCATTTTGATGCAGATCCAGAATATGTGCTTTTAGCCTTTATCCCAGCTTTTATAGGGCCACTTCAGTTTTCAAAATACTTAGAAAGAGGCTTCTCCACAATTTAGAAAAGTATTCACTGCTAAAGGTTCTTTTCCACATGAAAGAATTACAGCTTGTAAGAGAAGAGATGGTAAGCAAAACCTCAAAGAATAGAGAGAGATTATAGAAGGACTTTTATCCTGGATCTGCTTCATAAATGAAGGCCTCTCCAGCTGAGCAATGACCCAACAAAACTGACCAAGTCAAATGTCACAATCCATGGTATGAGTTGAAGGGCTTCAAAATGCTAGTAAGGAAACATTGATGCTAACAAAGTTAGAGGCATGCAGGTGTGTGCTGGTGGTCACTACACCTCCCTGAGTTAGGAGGGGGTACCTTCAAGGCGTCTAAAAATGTTCTGCTTCTAAAAGTAGACTTTTTTTGACATAGAGAAGCCCACTGAAATCACAAACAGACAGAGTAAAGGCAAATAAGACACACAACAACAGAGAGGGAGAGTCTCGTCTAAGAAAAAAGGAGAAATTCCACAATACATAAATAGACTACAGAAGAGACGGACAAAGAAAAGTGTCTCCAGGAAACAGTGCAAGCTAGAAGAAATTTCAGTTAAACACACATTGAAGCAAAAGAAATCTAAGACTCTGCTTTTGTGATGCCAAACTAATGAAAAGGTTGAAAATGCTAAAAAGCTTAATTTTTGCATTATTTGGATTAATGAAGGATGGGTAAAAACCAGACCTGTAGCTACAGAGTACAAGCTTTCTTTCCAAGTCCCTGCATTTTAATTAGGTTGTGCACCACATCAACATTTTAACATCAGAAAATCTCCAGAGACTGCAATGATGATGAGAAGCAACAAGGGGTGTGTAATATATTGAGAACATGAAAAGGGGACAAAGCAATCAAGAAACAAATTAGTGCAGTAGTTTGGAAGCTAGCAGATAAGGACAGGGAAGAGACAAGTGTGATACATAAGGGTCGTTTAGCTGTTTGAAAACTTACCAAGAAAATCTACTGACCTCAAAACAGCTGCCAAAGTTTAAATAGGCATGTCACCCTACTACAAATTATAACTATCACCAGCCAGTTACTCATGAAGAAGCTAATAAGAGCAAATAATTATGAAAGATTAGATAAAGTAAGGATTAAAAGAGTGATAATGCCTCACAATATTGCCAAATAGGAGTTGAGGTGAAAACTCTTAAGACTGTAAACAATCTCTTCTACAAAGAATCACAATCAGTATCAACGACTTGGAAGCTGAAGTTTTAGTCATTGAAGTTATTAGTCATGATGGTAGACTTAGTTTGTCTTAGCCTATTTGACAGCAGACAGTAAGTGTTAGACTTCAGTTACTAACAGGATATTGAAGTATTTGCTATCCTTGCAACAGCAGCACAGGCATCACCTGAATGCAGGGCACAACTGGAATACAAAAACTGCACACGACACTGAGAGACAGAATAGAATCTCTCTATTCTCCATCATTTTGACTAAGAGTAGAACAGAAAAGAAGAAAAAAAGATGAGTAGCGCTGGTAAGGCCAGTCATCACCTCTGCTGGAGCCATAGAGCAAATAGATGCCTGCTTTCATTAAAGGATGTAGGTGAAGGACACAGCCACTAAGAAGGTAAGATCAATTCCCACTGGCCTTGTGACCAAAGGTGAGCTTATCCAGGACTTGCTACAAGTCTGGTGAGTTTGAAAGACCTATTCAAGAATGAGCAATAGACCTGAACACAGGAACTCCAAAGTTCATAATCAAAAGTAAATCTGTTTGAATCTTTGCTAATGCATGCATCCAGCAAGTGTCTGCAAGCTTTCTGAGAGAATCACATCCCTACTCACAGTCATAAAGGCACGACTTAGATACAATTCCCTGCAACACAAAAATACAGTCAGAAAAAAACCTTAGCATTGAATTAGTCAGCTTATCATTACTCTTCCCTGAAGAGCATAAGTGGTCTTTAATAACCTTCATGTTAGCCTTTTACTTGTGACAGGCACTATGATCATTAAAGCCTGTTCTCTGTCTTACTCAGACCAACACCAACTGCCTCTCTTGCTCCACAGAGCTACATTCAGACATTCATAACGCAGGCAACAGGGAGTTTCAGGCAGGACTCCCATCTCTGTCATTCTGAAGCGAACCTGCCCAGAGACTCTACTGTCAGATATCAAATTAAAAAAAGCAGGAACTGAGCTTAACATCTCATTTCATGAGGTATTTAATATCTCATTTCATCCTCATGAAAGCCACACTCTCCAGAAACAGCTCTTTTTATAAACTGAAAACGAAGCTTTCCTAGTAGTTATCTTGTTTCATCCCACTAAATTAGAGCAATTTAAAAAGCTATTTTCCTTTGTAAGAATTATTTCAGTTCTTTCTGCATGAACACCATACACACACACACAAAAAAAAAACGACCAAGAAAAAAAAAAAAACACCTTAGAATTCCCATCCAGTTCAATGCTGCCTCCTGCTGTCAGGATATTGATATATCACTTTGTTGAAAGGGTTCAGCCTCACAATAAACGATTAAAAACTGGTTTTGAGATTCTCAAGGCCCTATAAGATACTCAGAATCCTGAATCTCATTGAAATTTATTCAGTGGAAGTAATTAAATCCAGTTTATTTCCCCGCGGTGCTCTCATTTCTAGCTGGCCAAGGCAAAGTTAGAGCTTTATTTTTAGCTTGAGAGTAATTCACATGAATTAGCTGTACTTCTCCTGCACATGAAGTAAGCACACTATTACCAAGAAATGAACAGTGGAGAATAAGCCCAACCATAATTATGAAGACCAAATCTCCCCTGCACTTTAATTGCTATTATGGAAGAATTCCTAAGCAAATGACGGCTAGAAACTTAATTAAATTTAAAATGCAAAATCATCAGGCAGACCAGGCCTTCATAGAATAAACTTTACAGGAAGAAAGCACTCATGGTTCAAGGGTGTAACCTCTTCTTTACCAATGTGCACTTACTATAGTGGACACAACCACATTCATTCATAAGAACGTGTGTACATTGCAATGAGATAAACTCCTTTGGCTCCCTCAAAAATGTGCTCCAAGAATCTTTTTTTATAATGTATCCTAAGATTTGTGTTTTGGTGTGCACTCAAATATCTTAGGCTACTATGACAATCACACAGGTGAAGTTAGAGTAAATAGGTTCATACAGACCCTCACTCACTGGACATCTCTACTGTGACACAAAATCCTGTCAGTTCATTGACATACACAGATCACACTGCACTGCACTGACAGCACTTACCTTACCACAGATGTCATTAATAGCCACATGAACAAAGATGGATGCCTCTTCTATACCTTCTAGGTATACATGTCGGTAACCTGAAACGCAGGATAAACCAAGATGACAAGGAAGGGAAACAGATGATAGCAAAAGCATCTAGAGACATTCCTTTTGTAAACAGCAAAAAAGTCCTGAACAACTGATGTGGTAATTCCTCCTTTCTTTCTTACCTGGCATCATACTGCTGAAAGCTATTGTTCTTTGTCCAATAAAATCCCGCCCAATTGGATCATGGTCCCACACAAGGAACCGAATCAAGGCGATCTCTGGCATGTGCAGAGTGAACACCAATGTTTCTTCCCACATTGGGTTAAATCCTGGGAAATAAAGAATCAGCTTTTATTTTGTTCACGAGATGCATGAAGAAAGAAGACTGTCTATAAAAGGAGCACCTGCACTGCAATGACATGCTAGTTTTCCTAGCAGTTTAATCACTGTTCTTTAAAAATCCAGCACTCCTACTCACTTCAGGAGACACAATGGTATAAGAATTTGCAAGAAACATCGATCTTACTTGAAGTTAGCACTGCTCTGAGTAGGTGTTTGGACAAACTAACCTTTTTTGACTCTTCCTCTGAACACTGCCAAGTCCAAATACCTTTCTCGCACGTACAGTGAGAAGTCAGACAAAAGGCTAGTTTCACACCAAGATCTTCAACAACATCATACCAACTCACTTGAATAATTCAAGATCCAAGTCCGATTAACATCAGTAACTATATCAGTTTTTCAGGTTTTTTCTCTATAATTGGCAACCAGTTTCACCTGTTTGTCTCTTGATAAAAAATCCTTGCCTGAAAGAGGATGTTTCAGCCACAAGAAAGCCTAAAAACTCCCGCAATCTTACCATTATCATCAACTACTCTAGTTTGTTCTTTGAAGCAATCAACAGGTAGGCCTATAACTTCTACTTCAACAAATGGATCTATGATCTGAAAAACATAAAATAACAAATCCTGAAAAGAAAAGGTGATAAAGGCAAAATTCAAGCACATGACTAAACATTATACCATGGGCATTGTCTTTAAATAGAGTTGTCTGTGGCATTATATAACAAAAATGGCATTACAAAACAAAATAAATAACAACTTTAAAAGTCACTCAAAAAAGAGAAGGCAAAAAGAAGAACAGAAAGAAAACATAATAACACAGTGCTAAATGGAGGACTGGGAGCAGATTTATCTATGCAGAGGGAAGGACTTTGAAGTAAATCTCCCTTGCTTGGCAAGCTCAGCAGTTTGGTGGGGGTTTTTTTGTTTGTTTTGTTTTTTTTTTTTTGAGTGACAGTTTGTATGGGAGGGCATTTCTAGTACTGTTGTGAGTAGAATCCCACAGTCATGAGCTTATTGGCCTGTTTTTGCTTGTCCTGGTGGCACTGTTTTGACAACTGAAGAAAAAAAGATTCCAACTATTGCTGTGATGCTTTGAAGACTTGAAAACCACCCAAAAATCTAGGATGATAATGATCTGCCTAATTTATTCATGTTCTATGTCTCCCAAAAGATAACTGCAGGAAATTAAATCCTCATCCTAAGCTCAGCTAATTTGGAAATAAACCTTCACCAACATATAAGAACAATCACTAATAGTTTAATACCTCTCCTCTGTCTCCCAACATGGAATCCCGTGGTTTTGGGAGCTGTTGACCACTGATAATTCTTAGAACCAGCTGTTTCTTCAACTGACCAGGCAGGGGATCTTCAGAATTTGGATTAAAGATGCCTGAATGAATGAAAAATCATAGAACATAAGAAAAAAAAAAAAAAAAAAAAAAAGAGTAGTAGTAAGGATCTACACTCACTGTTCTCATATGGTAAGTCTCCCACTCATTCTAATAATTTCTCTTACCTTGACACATGCAGTCTGGTTTGAGGACATAGCCACAATTCCCATTGGCACTAAATTTGGCCCGGTTCAGTTGCAGCATTCTCCCCTCTGACTGGTAGTTTAAAGCCACTGTTCACCAAAAAAAAGCAAAAAAAAACAACCAACCAAAAATTTTTAACATTATTATTAACAAATTATGTTATCAACATTATTGTTTGTAGAACCAGGTTAAAGGAAGAACATCTAAGTATATTTTCACTTTTGATTTCTTGGGTGCAAAAACTCAAAAATGTATTTTCTGAAAGAGTTCTATGCTATAGCACACATCAGCTTCAGGGAGTGAAGCTCTGCAAATGAATCTCGGAAGTTGTCTTGAAGTTGAGAAAGATATTACTTTATCCCCATTTAGCAGACAGTTGCCTTCACAGAAGGCATATGATTCAAGTATTCTATCTAGGAAGCAGCATAGAAAAATAACAGGAAGGACTCAAATGTCAGTAATGTTGAATAAGCAAAGAATTCAAGTACTTTAAGAAATGATTCTTAAAGCTCCCATTAAAACATTCCTTCCAAAATAAAACAAAAATAAACTCTTTTTCTGCTCACCGAGTTGGCAGCCCGCATTCCAGAATGGCTGGGGATTGTAGTTGCTGGAGTCTACGCGGTAGGAAGATGGGTAGATGCGGGATAACTGATGTTGGTTGAAACGTAGATACTGTGCTGGCTTTTGCTGCAGTATCTGGTGGGCTTTTGTTTCACTGAAAGATGAAACCTGCCAGCTGGAAGAGACTGCAAAGAAGGGAGGAAGTGATGAGAGGCCTAATCTCCTTATTTATTTATTATCTAAATAAGACATTCAAACAAAGATAGCATTAATTACTTACAACAATCTATCAGAATTTGAATACATTCTACTTTGAGGGAACAATTCTTTTCTTATATTATAGAAGGCTAGCTGTGCTTACTGGAGGAACTAAAGCTAGGATAAGGAAACTGAATGGCCTGAATCCTCATTAAGAAGTTACAAAAGCTCTCTAAGATTTTTTCAATTTGCTGAAAGAAAGTATTATTTCTGGCAAGCAATTCTCTGACATTTTTAACTAAATTTTGATTCCTGTGAAAATCAGACACAGAAAATGTAGAAAGATTACTGAAATATTCTAGGAATATAATGGGGATGGTTCACCAAGTCTGAAGTAAAATCTAAGCTTTGGAGATACTTGTCTTGGTTTGAAAAGCTCTTCAAACCACTCTTCCCCAGAAAATAACTAAGCCCTCTGTTATATCCAGTGATGTAAATAGAGTGTAGCAACATTTATAAGCGCTACCAAAAAGTACACGTGTCACTGCTACATGGAGTAGCTTTACCTCCTTTACAGTAGCTGCCACACGACTCTATACCCATTTTGTAGCTTCGGTATAGCAAGTGGTCAGCCACTTTGAAACAGCACAGCTTTACATGCAGCTCTTCTGTTAAACTTTTCTGAAGTTACAGTAGAAACAAACACATAAACAACTTTTAAATAGAAAAGACCTAAGAACATAAATCTTTCAATTTATTTGCACAGCAATTACTTCCAGCAGACTTCTACATCAACCTACTTTCAGCTTCAACATCATGGATGCCAACAGACTTTGTATATTTCACCAGGTCTGAGAGTGCCCTGGACAACTTCATTGTTTTCTTCTGCCGGTTTATCCTGGAATAATAAAACATTTACATTTCCCATGAAATAAGAGATAAACTTTCATTTTCATATTTAAAAATAAATCGGAGTAGAGAAATAAGAAGGTTTTCTTCACCAAGGAGATATTCAATTTTTATAGCATAGACTCACTGTCAAAGCAGTGGAAGCAACTGCATTGATGTATAAACAGAACAAGTTCTGTTCTTACATGTTAGTGGCAACCATAAATATTCACATACGAAAACCTGATGGAGAGGACTCTAAATTACTTTGACCAAAGGGTAGGATATCTGTTCACACATACATTTTCTTCTCAAGTCAAGTACCAGCAGAAACACTTTTAAATCCCAAAGAAATAGCAAAACTGTAATGCTCTGATCTTCCTCACTTGCTTCAGGTTATCACTAACAGAGTATCTACTCATCTCCTGAAGAAAGTTCCAAAGTATCCCAGAGAACTGCTTGATCTGATTTCCTGCTTTTACAGGCTGAATCTTACAGAGCCATTCCACAGAGGACCTTTGATTTCAGGATTTTTGGAAAGGTAGTTTTTTAATTTTCTTTTGAAACATCACATGAACCTTTATGCAATTTTATGTGGCAAAAAAACAAAGAAACAAACAACAAAAAGCACCGGCAAGCAGATTTACTTTGCAAATCAACTGTAATGGGTTTGCTGGGCTGCCAGTCAAACAGTCTACATGTCAGCTGGATGAGATGGTAAGAGCTCAGATGCATACTGGATCCACTGTACACTGCTAATTAGTCCAAACAGCACGTAGAGATCATTTTGATGTTGTGGCTGACACTGGATCTACCCTCATGTGAAATTCCTCTCACACAACTGAGGATACCCGTCAACAAACAGAGCTCAAGCATGGCTATTTAGCAGGTACATTCAGGCAGGAATCTCTTTCAGAAACAAAACTGCCAAATCACTTGTTACAAACCTGGTGTAATGTACAGAGCCTCTGGCTACATTTCCTTGAGAATCAGCATCATCTTCACCTTCTTCCAGACTGGTTGATTTTTTCAATTTGCTTCCTTTTTTCTGTGCCACAACAAAATAAAACTGTTATATAGAATGGACTCCAATATTCAAGAGATTCACTTTTTTCTATGAAGGATGTGGACCAATCAAGAAAAAAACTAAACTCATGTTAGACCTTCAGTCCTTTTATACTTCAGTGTAAACTGAAACTAGATGTTATGCACAATTATAACCAGTTATCTGTTCTGTTTATTCAGCAAACAGAGCAACAGCAAGCCAGATAGTAGAAATATGATAATCCTCTCCTACTGTTGCCTAAAAGAAAGAATCTATCAAAGAATGCAACATTCACAGTAGGACTTTCTAGGGTGGCTTACCTTGCGTTTAGAAAAGCTGCCCATCAATGTCCGGCTGTGCCTTTTATTGGTACTGAAGTCTTCCCCAGATTCCACATCATCCTCAAGTTTATTCTGAAATAATCAAACAGAAAAAATAGTGCAGCAGACCTGGGTAGAGTACTACAGACAGCATGCATAAACACAATCAAAAATAGTTTGGGATGCAACTCACCCTAAAATGTCAACAAAACATGACCAAACCAAAGCAGGGTTTTCTTGTATGTTTGATGTTTTTTTAATACAAGCTGAGCACAAGGTCTTTTATCCTAGCAATAACTGTCATCACTTTCATCCACAGGAACTTTCAGAGCAGATACAGATCACAAAAATACCAAATTCCATGCATCAGGAAATATTTTTATCCACATAAGCTCTGAGTGCACCCTAGCAGTGTATATGCACTGGTGACAAACTGTTTTCTAACTTAATATATGAAAAGCATAGCTCAACAGGACTTATTTCTGCCATGAAACGTGGCCTAAGTTACATGGCTTTACATGCCTAGTCCATGATAAGAAAGAATCAAATTTCTTGCAGTCCCTAAGAAAGCGTATCATTCATTGGTGCCTCTAATCTTTAATATGACCTCATCGTTTCACTGTTTCCCACTCTAATATGACACAGACAACTCTGGCTAATGCTTACTCAGAAGGATTCCTACAGTCTTGGCCTTACAGCAGATTTTACAAAAGTATTGTCTGATACATCACCTAAATCATTCATTTTAAAAGTACGTACAGAACTCACGAAAAAGAAAGTTTTGGGAAGCTGAATTTTAGCTTTCATCTGGCTTTAATGCCCAGTCAGTTCACCTGCAGATTGGCAGACCTCCAATGTTTTTCATTTGCATGCAGCAGCATTCCTTAGCTTATTATAAATTCCAAAATTACAACATTCACGTTCCTGAAGTGTTGGCTATTTACATTTTCATAAAGAACCATTAGTATAAGATTAAAATACAAAAGTAGGTGTACAGAAAAGAGAGAGCAGAGGGAAAAAAAGCTCAGCTTTCATATGCACTTTTTTATATAATGGGAAACAATTTTTTTCTGTTGAAAAGTCATTTCGTGTGTACATTTCATGCTCCAATTGCTGAGTGAGAAAAAAAGCTTCACAAATCTGACAGTGATGTTCACCTGGCATCATCATTAACTGAATGAACTCAGCTATGAAATCTGAAGTCTATAATATATTATTTATTCAGTAAGGTAATAAACCATAACAAACTGAAATGCTAAACACCTCTTCCTCCAAAACCATTGGAGAAAGTCTTTGGATGTTGGACAAAGAGGTATTTAGCATTTCAATTTCTATTCTGAAGGACTGCCATATTTCATTATTCATATGCAACAACAGGCATCTCTTTGCACCAAGCGTAAATAATGAAAACAGCCAAAATTAAAATATCATTATCATCAAAATAAGAGGCTTCCACTAAATGGACAAAAATGACAAAAAAATCATCTGCATATTTTAGATTTTATATAAGAAATACGAGGTATTAACAAAATACAGATAATAACAAATATCAAGTACTACAGAAGGAAAAGCATTTTCTATTTTGCCATATGAATATTTGGGGGCAAAAATATTACTTCACAATGATGGGAAACTTAAATAACTCTAATAAATTTAACTACGTTCCTACCAGTGTAACAAGACCTATGATTTCAGCCAAAACCAGCAAACAAAATTTTCTAAATCCATATTCATCTTGTAAATCACACAATTTTCTTTTAAGGGCAGAGTTGAGCATGTTTCAGTTTCATTAGTACTATGACAGCTGCAGATCTCACTGGTAAACTAAGTCACCTTTATTCAGAGTGTCAAAATAGATTTAAAAGTCCAACCTTAGGCACTCTTTTGAGGAAGCAGTCACGAAACAGCAGCACTAAGCAGCTACAGAGAGACAAAAGTGCAGCTAAATCTAGGGGGTGAGTGAAGTACAGTATGTGTTCACCTTCTTACTGTCTGATTTCTGACCAGTCTTCCCAGATGATGGCAGAGTGGCAACTGTAAAATTGTTTGGATCTTCACAGTCACGGATTTTGGATTCTTTTATCAGTGAGTCAAGTTTTTTCTTTGCTATGTTCTCCACTCTCTTCCTATTTGTAGATGCCTACAAACAAAACATAATCATTAAACAAGATACAGGCAAAACAATCTTAGTAATTCCAGCTGGGATTAGCAGAAAATGGAATGTTATTTGCAAGATCAAACCTTCGATCTAAAAATTATCCGGGAAACCTACAAAATAAGGATCTTAAGTAGCACTGTGACTTTGATTTCAGTAGTTTTGTAAAATCAACTGTTTTGGGGTTTTTTGGGTATTGAAAACACTCCTACATGTCTGGGAATACAGACAAAAGAACTGGAAAACAGGAAAACACGGAAGTAGTTTTTTCTTCCTTTCTTTTGTTCATGATGGAAAGAACACCGTCATGCAATAAGGACTAGTGAGATATTACTAGTTAAATATTAAAAGGAATAAAATCACAAATTTGAAAGATTACAGCCAGAACTGGTGCTGCCTAATATGCACTTCTGCTAAAACTGTCTGCACAAAGGATTAAAACCTTAAAAACCTGTGACGAATGCCCAAAATTGCACAACATGCACATTTGAGAGAACTCATACAAGGCTTCCTCTGTCTGGAATGGGAAAATGTCAAATAGATTTACATGTAAACGATCACTTAACTTACATCTCCATTCATTATTTTACAGTCATCATCAATCTCATCAGCACTGTCCTCATCAGAAACTTCACCCTCCTCTGCATCATCACTAATGTTGGCTGGAAGTTTCTTCCCCTAGAAGATAAGATGATTACACAGGCAGGTTAGGACACAGCACTTGCTATGACATATTTTAAACAAAACAAAATTAAACAAAAAAAATCATTATTGATGGGAAATTAAAAAAAAAAAAAAATCCCGTAGAGGTGAAAATCTTAACATGCAAGCAAACACTAAAATGCTCTTGACTTGTTCTTTGTGTTTGTTGAAGGTCAAAGAAAAGAAGATATTCATGAAGAACAAATCTTATTTACTTCTCTGGTCAGGGTGAACTAATAGAAAACAGATTCTCTTTTTTCTAAACCTTCTCATTATGCAATTCAACCTGTAGCAGCCAGATTTTCTCCATCTCGGTGCTTCACTATTTCATTAACATGAGCTGAAAAAACTGTGAGCTGACTGGATAATAGGTGAGATGCTAATATTATTCTAAACAGGAGAGAAGTAGAAAAACTGCCAGAAAGAAGGAATGAGGAAGATGACGTGTGGTTATAATTTAAACTCAATGAACAGGAGCAGATTGCAATTTCCCATTTAAATTGAGCCAAATCTGTTAAAGACAAAATCCTGTCTGTATTCTCACATACTCAGCTCAGGGTCCAGAAAAACATCACTATTTCAGTCTCTCAAGAATAGCTGCGTTCTAAGAGTTGTGCATCAGGAGCCTGCCTTCTTGCACAGCCAGCCAGATGCACAGGCACTATATGAAAGGTAAAACTTATTCTTTAGCTACACATATTTCAGAAATTGTTACTTGTGTTGGCTTACCTAGATAATGCTGGCAAACAGCCCCAAACAGCCTTTATCACTGCATTAAACCTTTATTACAGATTGTTTATCGTGATGTCATTTAAATTAGCACACAAGTGATAACCAGGCAGAGATTGTAGTCATCACAAAAAAGGAGAGATGGAACAAACCAACCACATTTTTACCTTAACCAGTATCTTCCCTTTAAGACTTGCTGGTGAAGGGAGCCTGGTGGAGTCATCATTGTGCACAGAAGACAGATCCAATTTGTCACCCAGAATTTCTGTAAGATATTGGGCCATCTTCTTCTGCTGAATTACACTGCAATGGTTCTCAATTGACAAGATAACAGGGTACCTGGCAAGACATAAGGAAGTATCACCAACTGCAAATTTAGCTTTTATGGCATTACAAAGATAAAGGTTATTACTGTCTGAGCCATTCCTGTAAGGAGAACGACCACCAATGAAATCTACAGGGTAGATATCCTGATTGATATCCCAGTACTCTCTCCAAACTGAATAGTCTATTTTAGATCATCACAGAACAATTAAACTTCTTCAATCTGATTTGATGCATTTCCTTCCAGAGCACACTTTTCACCTTCCTATACTAGCCAGTCCTGACCTCCACTTCCTACTAGAGAGATTCAAGAAAGCCAATCATAGAAAAAACCTAAACATGCAATGCTTTCAACTCCCCATGTCTCATGCCTTATGTCTCAAAAGCTAGCAGATTGTACACATACTCATTCTTGATAAAGGCGTATTTGTTGATAGTTTCAATCACATCTTTGAAGAGAATTTTGGAAGTCAAAGTGTATCCATGGTGGACAATTGGTTCACCATCCGGCCCATCCCAGCAGTCAACTGCAGAAGAGAAACAATGATACCCATCATTTTACTGTGCGTAGACAGTTGTACACATTGTTTGAGAAAGCCCCAAGCAAAAAAAGATCTCTTTAAGAAGTGCTGAGGAATATTATGAAGGTAGAAGAGCTGACATAGCACAGCATTATTTTCATTATACTACTGCTGGACCTTAAAGGGAATGCAAGAGAATCCTAGCCAAGCTTCTCACATCACAACCAGAGCCAAACTCTAAGCAACTCCGGTCTTCCTAAGCCTAAGCTCACACTTGTTTACAGTCATGCTTCTATGAAATGCTTTGCTCCTCCGCAGCACGCTCTGGCATGTCCACAATCTGACCTGAGCAAACTATAATATTAGCCTTCCGAAAAAATGTGAAAGCACTTTGATGGTCACGATATTACAGATGATTACAGAAGAGGCAGTCTCAGAAAAGCATTACAAATATCAGAAGAAATTTCAAAAAAGCTCCTGGGTCGTTACAGGACTATCAGTATCTTGCATTATAAAACCACATTTTCCTCGTCAGAAATATCAGCTTTCTCCTCTGTTTTTAGTGAGAATTCTGCCATGTTTGCCTGTCTGGTTGACATACTTTTGGCCAGAAAGTATGCTCCCCAGAACATCCTAGCAAATGTTAGCATTCTTTCCAGAGATCATTTTCACCATTTTTTTCCTTAGTACCAATGACACTTCCTCCATTGTTCACCTCACTCCTATATTCAAGAAAATTTATCCACTGTATAGCAACATAATTTAATGTTTTTCATAACAGGAAGACATCATTTCGTAAGGCTCCTTAGTCCAAGCAATTACTAGATCTTCTGCTATAGCCCTAAATCTTTCTTTACAGAGAAGCAAAAGTATGGAGCTTATTGATGATTCCTTTATGTTCTTTACCTTCAACACAGCGACAGCCAGACTGTAGCACCCATGCATACATGTCCACCCTAGACTGGGACATCAGCTGATCTCCCATGAGGTAGGTATTATGTGAAGAGGTAATGAAATAGTGACTCAAAGGGTAACTCATGTCCTGATTCACTTGGTAGTGTTCTGGGTTGAAAATGTCTCCTGAGGGACTCCGCATGTAATTGGTGAAACCTATGAACAAACAATACTATAAGTAAGACAGTTTTGTTCTTTTTGTTGCTGTGGTCTTCCTGAAACCAGCTAAGAACACATCCCTGCATGCACCAACACAGTCATGAACGTATCAAGTAAAATAAAGAAGTAAATAATGCCACTGTATCCCACCCAGCACAAGACAGTTCTTTGCTCTAACTTTCCTGGAAAACATGCCTATGTTTAACCAAAACTTGACATTGCAAGTTTATAATTCAAAAGATTTTGATGGAATAGTAAGTGGCGCAATGCATAGAAGACTCTAAAATCTTCCAAAGAATACTAACTTCACCTCAGTAAGTAACAGATACCTCCCCTCCCACAAAAAGCAACAACCCAATGCCAAACCTACTTAAAAGCATTCTCTATATTATTTAATACAATTCTATGACTTCATAAGCATGCAAACAAATGTGATTTCTCATAAGCATTTAAACACTGTTCACCCTCTCCCACAACAGCTATGCCAGTCAACTTACCATCAATCCCCAGAGCTCCTGCCTTCTTGTTTTCCAGGCATGGTTCAAACTTGTCGATAATTTCCAGGCAGTGTTCTCTGGTCACATCTGTCATCTGTAAAAATAACATAAGTGAAGTGTTAACTAACAATCCACAGCTTCTCCTGGCTTTCCTACTCTGTATGCTGTTTAACAATTGGTCAGATCATCCAGAGTGGCACTAAGGATTTCCAGTTCCACAGTGAGATGCTCACTCCTGTCAATCAACATCAGGTCAGATAAGAATTAAAATGCTTTGCGAGAAGTTTCTGCCCTATTGGCAGCTGCCTGATCACATCCAATAAAGACAGAGCTCTAGTTTGTAGGTCAAATGTGGTTAGTGTTGGTACGTACACAGAGCACCCAAATTGAAAAAGCTTGAAAAATCAATGGGACACCTCCTCTTCTGTAGAATTAAAGGATTAATTTGCAGTCCGATTTTTTCATTATCAGAAGTGTTTTGACTTTAAAAGAAAATAAGAAAATGTTTCCTCTTTATGCAGTGGACTGGAAGACAAGCAAGAGAAACAGTACAATCTAATATTCCTACTATTTACTGATAATCTATCCATTAAACATTATCCATTCTACTATTTAATATACTTTTCCTAATACTTCCCCTTTCCAACAAATGTTATACATGCCACTTGGAAATACAGCCCTGGACACTAAATGGGCTGCCAATAAAGTGCCTAAGTTTATTATGGTTTTGGCAACGTGGAATATTTTCTCAGAGGGAAATAAAACCACCAGCATGTCTGCAACCAAATCAATGCCTTTTGGGGGGGGGAGAGTGGGGGTAAATTTAAAACCTAGTAAATAAAATCAAAATAAGAGGAAGGAATACAAATAAACAAATAAAAACCAAGACTTTATTTGCCCATATACTGTAGGTTTGCTGGGTAAGAAGGAAAAGCTCTGAAACAACAGAAGGTTTTTCTGGTACAGCTTCAAACACACAGAATGAACGCTTGTTTTCCCTGCACACATTGTGTAAGAAAGGGCAGAACTAGACAAGGGAGTGAAACCCCAGAGGCATGTGTTGTCCATGTCAGTGATTAGCTGAGCTGATCTGTGTCCTTTGGATAGTGTTCATTTTCCTCTCACCATCTGGAGGATCAATCGACCAATGAAATGGAAACACACCCTAATTATCTAAAATGATAACTGCCAGAGAAGTGGCTTTATCATTCATTCATTTCTTAGACAGCTTTTGAAACTCTGATGCTTTATGACTCACAGGCATACAGTTTCAAAAGAGATCAGGAGAGGAGAAAAAGCAAAGACAAGTCAATGCATTTGTTCCTGCACTCGCTGTACCTTACCATCCAATTATTTTTTTTTCCTCATTTCAGAAACTGCCAGAAGTCTCTAGATGAACACAGGATCGTTCAGAGAGCTCAGGAAGTCATTTAGACAAAAAATCCTGCTCAGGGCAGGATCAACTATAAGGTTACATGAGTTAATTCAGGCCTTTATTCCAGTCTCTATACCTCCGTGGTTTTAGAGGATGTACAACCTCTCTGGGAACCTCTTCCATTGGATGAACATCCTCATCGTAAAGAAGAGTAAAGAACTCCAGAGTTCCCTTGTTAAGTACAATAAGACATTGTAACTTAGCACAGAGTTTAGTGGTAGTTGCTGAGTTGCATAAACAACTATAAGCATAATGTATGGGTTCAGTTCAATTCTTGAAAAGCTTATAAAGCTATACACTAGTGTTTCTGAAGAACTGTAGAATATCTTAAATTCATAAGTAAAATTAGATAGCATCACTATTTACTGGCCAACGTCAAGCCAATATTAATATGCAGGGAATACACACACTACCTGGATCGTCAGACAAGAAAACAGCCTGCTTTGGATCGGCGCAGTGGGAGGAGTCTGAGACCACTCTCAGCAATGCAATATTGAAGTATTAAAAGGCAACCTAATATGCACTACTACATATCCTCAAACACTTCCCCAGACGTGAATAATCCTCTCAGTAGCTCTTTAGAAACATAATCTACTTTGCAAACTGGGAAAGTGTGACAAAGCAGTGTAAAGTCTCATCATGAACTCTGCACTGAAACAAAAGCAGAGCCAGAAGCAGCATCTTTGCACTCAGATACTGAGCATGGGAAAAAAAACATCGATGGCTTTCTCCCAAAGAACACAAGGGAAGAAAAAAAAGAAAAAAAAAAGAAACCATAGACACTACAGTTAGGGGCACAATGAAAGACCATACTCAAAGAAGAGGTTGTGAGGGTAAAAAGATTCAAGAAATAGTCTTGCCAGCATACCAGATGAAAATCAAGAAGCATCTAACTGTCTGTTTTTAACATCCACACTCTCCAGAGTGAAGCTGCTAAAACAAAAGCAGATGCTCACTTTTCACACGCATGACTGCCATTCTGACCCTTTAAAAAAGACAATGCATCCCCAGCGGCAAATGGAACAGCACAAGAACAGAATTCTTTTCCTGGTTTAGATCTACCTTTTGTTCATTCTCCAGAAAGCGTCTCAGGTCATCTGTATCCAGGAAGTCCTTGTGGTTGCTGTAGGTGAGCATTAGCAAGTACAAATCACGTCGTGTTGACATCATCTTGTAGAAGGTGCAGAACTCATCAAAGCCTAGCGTGCCCTGGTTATCATCTGTATCAGCCTCCTGCATTACACAGCAATAAGGCAATGAAATAGCAAACTGTCTTGTTAGAGCCTGAACAAATTTTAAATAAACAAACGCCTGAATGAGAATAACGTGTCACTGAAATTAAACACATGCTGCTGCTGCCTGACAAGGCTGCTCACTGTAGGGCCTGCTAGAGCAGATTGGTCAATTAGACTAATATTTGTCATATTAATGCTTTCCCCTTTGAACCTTTTATATGTATGGATTAGTGCAAGAGCTAAGACAACTTCTGAAGGTCCTTTGTACTGCACAAGAACAGAGGAGGATACTGAATTTCAGATCAACAGATGTAGCAAAAAAGCAACTTCACAACGTGCTACAATGTGGTATCAACACTAGACAGTACCTGGTGTAATCATTCTTTCTGTAAAAAACAACTTATTTATTGCTTATTTCTTATTTCTGGAGCATTCTTCAATTTACCAAATACACAGTGCAGTATCTCTCAATGGAGAGAAAACAAATCAGTTGCTGAATCATTGATCTTTTAGACAAATTTCATTTTCATTTCTTACCTTGAACATTTGCTTGACTTTTTGTCGGGGTAGGTTGACATTCAGTTTGTGCATTAGTTGGAGCACTTCATTAATACTCAGACAGCCATCACCATTTTTATCTGCTTCATCAAATGTCTGCTTCAACCACATTGAACAGGAGTTAAGGAACATCATGGAATATCAAGGGATGTTACTGAACATAATATATATACAAATGCTTAGGGAAAACTGTACATATGGGGCGAGGAATAAAGGAAAGCTCAAGATAATATACAACATAACTGCTTGTCTTATTTCATAAAGAAGTTCCTAGATTTGTTATGCTCAGTATTCAACACTGGCTATTTAACCCAAACTCTGAATTGAATTCTGAGCAAATAGAAATGATGCATCATGTTTTGTCTTGTACAATCAAATGAAAGGGACAGCTTTACACAGGGAGTAACAGATGAAGGAATATACCTGTATGTTCAGTCCATTCTTGCCCAATCACCTTTTTCAGTCCACTCTCTTGCCCAGTCCAATTTTCTTCAAGGACTTCTCTCTCAGTCTCTGGAAACAGGGAATGGAATGGGAATCACTTTGAAACTTTGAGCCTAGTGCTTGCTTTTAGTAAAACAAATACTTAAAGAAATTATTGTGCTGTTAAGTGCTCCAACCACAGGAAAATGCTCTCTCAACCAGTTTAGGAAGGATATTGGTCTCTGGTTCTTTGGCGTTTTGAGAGGCTGTCTTCATCACTGATCCCTGCCATCAGGTATTTTAGCCCTGTGATCCAAGTACGTGCTTCATCTCCACTGGAAGACACCAGGTCAAGGGATTCCATATGATCTCCATAGTAGATGCTGAAGCAGCAGTTAGGATCAAAACTGCCATCAGCATAGCGCTGAAAGATCTCCGATTGCTTCCCCTCACAAACTTCTTGAATAGAGTCGATGGAAACTAGAAAAACAAGAGCATGCAGCTCATTAGTAACTGTGTGGGAAAATAATCATGCAGGCTGGCAAACAGTAAGATTGCCCTAAAAAGGAATCCCTTTTTGTCTTGATTTAAGTTCTCTCTTTTAATTACACTGATGAATCACACTGCTGCTTGTCCAAGAACGTAATAAATGATCTTCCAATTGGATCAAAAAGAAAAAGCAGCTGTAACAAAATTAACCTAAACTGCAGAAATTACTGGAGTATGGGAACACAGAGACGTGAAACAGTCTGCATATTAACAGAACAGGATAATACTTCTAGCTTCCACTCCCTTGTATGTTGCCTTAAGATTCTTAAGGAAGACTACCCCTACTCTTCCAAGAGCGTGACTGATTTGAGGATTGCGTACGGAAATAAAAAAGCTGAATCATGGTTTTACAAATCTTACTCATTATGAACAAGCGTAGAATTAGGGAAAAGTAACACCAAGACAGTGAAATAGATACAGCCAGCAGACTGTTGCAAAGGCTTCATCCTGACATGGAGAGTAGTCCTAGAAAAACTGGTGGTCTGGGACACCTTCAAATCTATTACACTGTGAACACAATCCCTGTTCTAATTCATGCAAAGGGCAGAGAACGTCATGCGTGGCCTAGCCCAGACAGGTTGTGTTTATCTTCTACTCACATTCCTTCCTCTTCAGATAAAAGGACAAAGCAGATGAAAAGTCAATTCCGTGCAATTTTATGAAATCAAAATTTCTACCTCTTTGAAAGAGAGGTGAAACAATGAAAATGTCTGCAGTTGGCCAGAAAAAAAAAGATTCATCTTTTCAATAAATTCCAATTTTTCTGCTTTTTAGTTTGATGTAGAGATGTGCAGATGCTAAATACTCACAGCCTGTGCACCTTATAATTACATGAACAATTTGTTTCCCTTGTAATGTTCCTGTTCCCAAGCTGATAGAAGATAAACTCTAATAATAATAGTAAGGGGGGAAAAAAGGACAAATTTTAGTTTTGCTTTGTTGTAATTGTTCTCTGGAGATTACAACAAACAGACATCTGTTTGCTGTGGTATGGCTACCGTGCAGCTGGACAGTATGTTATACACAGACAAACTGCTAAAGTTTAAAAGGGAAAAGTTATTAAGGACAAAAACATAAACTGGATAATTAGTTAAGTTCCACTGTGCTGAAGGCAAGTGATTGTAAGTTGCTAGGAAGCTCCTCTGAAGGAAACAAGTCCCCTTCCCAGTTTGCTTCAAGGCAAATACCTTGAACACTGAAGCCTAGGCTCAGCCTGATTCTTTATGATTTTGCCCTGGTTTCTCTTCCTATACTTCAGCTTATCTGAAGTACACATCTCCAAAACCAGTGCTGTGATCTAGTCAGAGACCATTGCACATTAAGGAGCCAGAGCTACACATAACAGTTACACTGAGGTTGTGCTGTGCTCAGCAGCACGTACAGCTTGTCCTCCTGGCCTTTTATACTGCATTTGTGCCTTGGCTGTAGGGTAACTTACCTGGCTTACTGTAACTGCTGTCTGCAGGGAGCTCTAACTCAGTACCAGCACTTACATCACCTGTGCATCCCTGATTTTCTCTATAGCTACAGCAACAAGTATCCATGGGAACATCCTTTATGTCTGACTGTAGAAATGATCAATAGAATTGTTCTCTCCTGCACAAAACTGTAAGAGCTCAGAAGAGCAAAATGGAGTAACCTTTCCTAGCATGGCATCTACATAGCATGTTGAAACTGACTGATGCTCACCTACAGCACACATATACATATGTTTCTGACAGTTTAAAAAAAAAAACAAAATCAAAAAACACTAACATTTCACTGTGAAGTACTTTTCAGCCACACAGTAAGCAATTACTCAGGCTACAGGAATGAAAAGGTAAAAGGTAATAATCCTGTAGAGAAATCCTCTGGAGAAAGGAATGAAACCTCAATAATGCAAGGCCCCTGGTTCACACAGGTTTTCCCTGCAACTGACTTCCAACATAGTTAACTACTGTTATCTGCATACTTAACAACAGCAATTTAATCTTCATAAACCGTTAATCATTATAAAATAACTTAATGCCCTTTAAAATCCACATACAGAATTTTGCTTGATCACCTGTGAATGAATCAAATCCTTCATGCCGGTTTGGGTTTATTCACAAGGGGTCAAGATTCTACCTGGAAGGAATCAGAATAAGTGGTTCTGTGGTTGACACTCACTTTTGGCTCTCTCATTCTTTCGGGAGGGTCTCCAGCGAATGCATGACTTGTGCTCATCCAGGTAATAGAAGCGGACCAACCCTTTGGAACCACCACGGAGTTTGATCATTTGGGTACCAGCCTGCATGGAGCTCATACATCTTTCCACTGAAGAGAGAAACAAAGTAATATCAGTATGTCAGACTTTGTTTCCTTTGAAAGTCACCTTCACAGGAAGAAAACATACAAACAACATACAGTTGTAACAATAAATAACAAAAACATAGAATATAAATCACTACAGGAAAAACAAGCCCCATTTCATGCTTTTTGTTACAAAGATGCTCTAATCTCTGTTCATCATTTATGGTTCAATAGCACTACTATCTTTTTGGACTTCTAGCGGTTGGTATGTGTTTGTGGAGGAGTGGGAGTATTTTAGCATGTGAGGATGAAAGGAAGTTGGAGGAATTGAGTCATGTGAGTATTTTTATACGTGGAGGAGCTTTGTCTGAAGATCAATGACTGAAGTCCAGAATGGTTCTGGGTGACATCACACGGCTCTGGCTTAAGCCCATCTGTTTATAGACATCCTACAGGCAGCATCACACCACTGCCAAGGTCTGCACCGTTACCTGATCTGGGCAGGATGCATCCTGGTCATATGCTTCAGAACAACTGCTTTTCCAAACACTGAATGGAAAGGCAAATAGATTTCAGAGTCCTGTCTTTAGGGCCTTGGAACATGCAACATGTTTCTGGGCCTACAGAAACCCTTCAGTACAGGTACACTGTAAGAGCAAGCTGCTCCCTTAAAATCTCACTGAACCAAAGCAGCATCCCCAAGTGCCAACAGAAGACTCCCACACCCATCAAAGGTTCAGCACTGCAAATGCATAGAGAGAGAACGACTGTTTCACTTAATAATAACTCTCCAGAAATGACACTACAGCTACAGCTGGCTCTTTGATAGATAAACCCAATCTCCATCTTCTCCTGTCAGGAATATCAGTTCCAGTTCAGACAAGAGACATCAAATCTTAAAGTCAACATATAAATAATAGGTAATGCATACATATATCTCTACATATCCAGTACAAGGGATCTTTCTCAAACTACTGTGGAAGCTTAAGAATTTTGTCACTGCATACCTGAATAAATAAAATAGCCTTACTAGAGTCCAGGGGCCTACTCTGGAATAAGACAACAGGACTGTTCTAAATATTTATTTTGAAGACTGAAAACCAAACAAATATTGCACAAAAAATTCAGAATTCTGGCAACCAAGACCAGAGAGCAAACCTAGCATTCTGTGGGCATGGAGGACAACATTTCAAAAGTTCACACATGACGAAGTGAACAGCATTACATTTGCACTTTGAGGGGAATGAGAAGAGATTAATAATGAAAATATAACTGTAAAGTTCTTGAAGTCTAAAAAGCATCCTGGCAACAGATCAAAGTAACTGCAAAATAACACAGGACTAGGGCTGTGTCTCACCACACCACTGCTAGAAAAGTTGTCACTAAACAAGATTTAAAAATAAAAGCTCAGATGACCCTGCCTTCAGCAATGGAGCGGCAGGCATGCAGTCCATATCTTACCAAAACGGCCAATTTTCCACCGTGGAGAAGCTACGATGCTGCCACCAACCCAGAAAAATTCTTCAGCCAGGCGGGCAACTGAAAACTTATTCTGAAGCAAAGGGCTTCCCGTGGCATCCATGGCTGAGACAAAGGGCAGCTTCCAATCAAAACACAAACACTGCAGGCCTTAGCAGAGATTAAAATCTGTAGTTGCAAACTTTTGATGTAAGTTATAGAAATATTATTAGGAAAAACACTTCAAGGTAATTGATGATCTCCAAAGTCCAGCGGTATTCTTTGGGCTGTTACAGAAAGAGCAGTTTCACAGTAAATTCAGGCTTCATCCTGTGCTAATTTAAACTACTGAAACAGCAGCAAAATCCTTCTCATTCTGTACGATGTTTCTATGTGTCCGGTTTGGAGGGCAGATATGTTTCAGTTCAACATTCTAAAACAGACAAATGAAAGAAACTGAGGCAAAATGGCATGAAGGCGATTCCATTTATGGACAGAAGGAGCTTCTGACAACGTTCTTTTCCGGTGCTACATTCCCAGCTGCAGAGCACCCAAGACAATACACCAGCTCACAGCTGTTGGCTTTCTCCATGCTGCTTTCTTCTGACAGTGAGAGTTACGTAGCAGGACCTCTTCTGCACATTTGATGGCACGCAGATTTGCAAGCGCTCCTGCTGATGGCTTTACTTGCTCTTCAACAACAAACAGCAATACCCGTTGCAGTAAATAAGAGTAATGTCAGTAGCACAATCCATCCCCCCAAGTCACCCTTGCCTTTCACTGTGAGTCTGGCGAGGTATTAAGCTCTTCAGTCTCCTTCCATTTCAGAGAAAAAAAAAAAAGAAAGGAATGACCCCTTTTTCTTCTCACACAGCTCTTCAAAATATCATTGTAGAAATCTTCATCTTTTCTTAGAAGGTTCTCCTCAATATTTTAGTGGGAATATTTCTCTTCAGGCAGGAAAAACTAGATACGCTGAAAACACAGCAACATGTTTGCTTGAAATCCTAAATCCCCCGTATGCACTAATCCTAAAGCTGTGGTTCTGCCCTATCCAGTCAAGGGATTTAGGTGACACGTTACAGCCGTAGAAAAATAAGAAGGTTAAAAAAAAGTACTTTTTTTTTTTTCCTTAGTTAGCAGCATGTTTTCATCTCACAATCTGTGTGGCTGTGTCTTTGCAAAATCAGACAACCCCACAGAAGATGCTTTCCTATGAAACAAGTCAGCCAGCTACACTGTACAGAACAAACGCTGTTCACAGAAACATGGAACAGAGCGCATGGAAAGTGGCAGAGATAAAAGCAGGTAAGTATTAATTTTTAAAAAGCACTAAGTTACCATCTCATTCCCTTTGAAGTGCATCCAATAAACCCCAAATACAGAAATCTGTCATTTATGTTATCACAACCTCTTAATCTACACTAAGTACAATATACAATTGCTCTTGCCATCTGTGATCTGCACAAGAAACACAACATGCTTCTAGCTTGATGAACTAAGCACAAGTGTCCATTTAAAACGTACTCATTAAGTACTTCCCACTCCTCCTTTCACAGTTTGCAAAAGCTTTATAGCAGATAATTCTAGAGATGACTGATTCTCAAGCACAAGTTGCTTATTTCACTGACTGTGTACAGCTATCTTATAGAGGACTGGCCTCAGATTTATTCAGAAATGAAAACCAAAGTGAGTCTGGGCTGTGGGTAAAGGACAGCAACACGCCTATATATACCCTTGCTGCTTTCTTCTACTTGCTCAAATGCTTCAGCAACAGCCTTCCATTCTCCTCACATGTCTTTCAAGAATAAATTAGTGAGATACCTCCAAGCCAATCACTCCTATAAAAAGCTAAGACACGTACATCTACACAACTGAAAAGCGTGAAGCTACAGGCAAGAACTCCTGAAATACTGTTCTAAAGATCCTAATTCCCTTTTCATGAGAAGCCAGCCCCAGCATGGCTGGATCAGAGAAATGTAAGCTTAATTACATGCTCTGCCCTACACTTCCCTGAATGTCTTAAATAAAGGAGCAAATGTCTTTGGATAGTTTCCCTGCTACAGATTATCAGATCTCCACTTGCAAAACGGGGAATGCACCTCACAAGGGAAGAGGCAATTGAGCCCTAAGGTCCTTAACTATAAGGAGACAGAGTTAAGGTAACTTCTGCAGCAAACCAAAAATGCCAATATATCATAGTTGAGAACTAGAATTCTGCACAAGCCAGGTTTGCATGTGGATTTGTTTTCATTTTAGTACAGAAAATTCCTGTTTCTTATAATACCAGAAAAGAGAAATTCTCTCAGTGTTCAAGTTAAAGTCAAATTTATATTCTAAAACCCACCAAGAAGAGGTTAATTCAGATCCTTTTGGTTGACATCTCTCCATCCTTCAGGCCTAATGATCACAAATGGAGAAAAATAACATCTTTTTAAAAGTCCTATGTCCTGACTGTGGCTAGATACCAGGTAAATGTAGGGGAAAGAAGCAGAAAATAACAAAGAGTTAAACGTGACTTAATCTCTCCCCCAACTCTTAAGCTACTGAGCTGAGTACTTAGGAAATAAGCCTATTGAAATGGGTTTCTATTCTTGCCCCACTTGACATCCTCAGAAAAATCTTGCTCACCTGATAAAACGTGCAGATTAAAGACTTCCTCCCAAGGCACTCAAAAAAAGTTATTATTCTCCAGGTGTACCAAAGGCTTTTCATGGCTCAAAAAGATTTAAAACTGAACATTATTTGAGTCTGCAGGCTGCCCTGTGGCTGTTCTAAAAGTGGGATTCAGAAGACATGAAGAACAATGCAGGAATGTCAAAGGTCTTGTCAAAGAACATGCTCACTGCCACAAAGGGGCAGAGAAGTCAGTCTGCATCACACAGAGAAAGAGCATCCTGCAGAAGATACAGGAACACAGCACGGATGGTTTGGAAGAGAGAAGTGAGTAAAATGAACATCTTCCTGAAGTAAATGGGTTGAGGATTAATGCAATCCATCAGGACGGGTGGATTCATTTCCAATGCAAGTTTTAATGTTGAAGCAAGGGAAAAGTGCTAAAAATTTTATTTAACTTGAGGGGAAACAGATAAAGCCCTCAGTAGAAAAGAAAAAACTAAAAATTTGAGTGCAAGAATTTTTAATAGCTAGTCCAGATTCTGATCTCTCTTGTGCCTTCTGTACATCAAGGTTCAAGCATAAAACAGAAGAGAAGTAATACAAGAGGTAAATTAGGCTCTGAGCATACCAGGAAGTTTGTGTGTGACACATCTGCATTTCAGCTGAAGACAGCACAGAAGGTATTTCAGGTGTACACAGTGAACTAGTTTTCAAACTATAAATACATTTTCAATGTATTAGTTGTTAGAGTACTAATACAATGTATTAGTGTTGCCAGAGTATTGAACGTTACAGAGCTGGTACTGTAACAGGTCTGTAAATCCTCCAGGATTAGACTTGTCACTTCACAGCTACGCACTGTTTATCCTTGCGTGAACACGCTTCACACCACAGACCCACTTTACCAGATTAACAAACTAACCTCATGCACAAGGCTGATTCTACAA